CATTCCATTAAATTTCCCCTTCCGCACATTAACCACCCAGCGCCACCAGAGAGACAACCAACTCTGAAATTATTGTAATTTCACTCCTTCCTTCCTTCCTCCTGATCTCCCTTTTTCTCCAGTTGTTGACGTGCTTGAATTTTAAAGTGCGGAAATACAGATCCTGCTTAATATGGATATGTGGATGTGAAGCAAGCCAAGGTCACTCTGTCGCAATGATGCTTTCCCCAATCAATACTTGTACTTATACAAAGTACTCGTACTTTGGGTGCAAGCAGATAAAAATACCCACCGAAACCATAATTTACGAGGCGCGTGTGTATTGCCACCTTTCAGTGTCAGATGCAGGAACGGGGTCAGCAGGTTGTTACACGGTGATGGAGGGTTTCCTAAATACAGATGCAGCTCTTACTTGGCCGCTCCTCCTGCTTGTAAATTCCTGTTTGTAAGAAACTTGGAATTAGAGGCAACGACCGACTGTTTTTATTATGAAAAATATATTTTATGCTGCCCTCGTTTTGTAAAAGGTCACATCACGCTACCAACTAACACAGATTCCTTGCTAAATAGTTCTGCGAGGAGACTTTCACTCACAGGTTGTTTTGGCTTCTGCTGGGTCGGTCTGTGTCCAGAATTGTTGTTTTAGTTTTTATTGTTCACCCGTTCCTGTTTTTCAGTTTGGTTCACAGGAATGAAATCCTGACACGTATTTCCTCCTTCATCTCTACACTCAGGGAAAGTCCGGGTCCGAGAACACAATCTCTCTCTACGCAAGGGTGGTACGGTCCAGCAAGTACGAGGGCTTTGGTTTTCTGGATATATGTATGAACAGAACTCAAAACTACACACTCTCTTGGGGGCAGATAGAGAACAGAATTTTGTTTGTTGACTATCTGAGAGTGAAAGTAATACGAAATAAGAGAGTGGTAGCCAGTCAGCATAGTTGCTGAGCTGCCATTTGGCTAGGTGAGTAAACGTTTATAGGCAACAAGGGTCAAGTTGTACACATCCCAAAAGTGGCCACTTTTATGCTCAGTTATCGCGTCAAAACTGGTACACTTTTTTGAGAGTATACATGATGTAATTTTATGTTGAAGGAGAACTTACACTACACGTAGTACTGACTACATGCACCTATAATACGTAATGTGTTGTACCCAATAAAGTTAAATGACCTTGTGACAAGACTAATTTACAACTGAGGATAAGGTATGGAATGGGAGCCACCCAGTATTTGCCGGTCGTAAATATTTTGACTAATTTATTTGAAGTGCATGAACCATAGAAGAACAAACTCGTAAATAGTTTTGAAATATTCGAGGAATGTCATAGGCAGTTCCCCACTGAAACAACTGGAGGTATTTTGCTTATCTACTGCTATACACAAGGTGAATTACTTTGAAAGGGAGTAAAACAATGTGTTCTGGCTTCATGAAGTTTCCTTTACATGCGAACAGAGCATTTCCGGGAGCATTCAGACGACTATTAGCACCAGTACGCTGTACATACGTATACTTGTATGTGTAACTTTTGCCTATTACCATTCTCGGAATTTTAGATTCCGCGGTGGTTGATTTTTTAATCAGCTGTTCACTCCTATTTATTAGCTTCTTCCAGCAATTATACAGTCTTATCAGTCGTCCTTGATAATCCCTGCTAGCAGCCTTTAAATAGGTCTGCATTTGTTATTGCTTTCCCATCGCCTTTTTATTCAGTTACTTCAAGTCAAAGAAAAACTAATTGTTGATTTGTACTGAAAATGCTTGGCAAAGGTGGGAGGATATCTATTCGTCTCACGAACTCGTTATTTTACTAGATAATCCACCTGCTGGCGGCTACATACATTCATACATTTGTAAAAACATGGTCAATTCCAGAATTGCCTCAACCACTGAATTTATTGGCAATAATGTAATGCGATGCTTGTTCAAGCGAAGCTGGTTAAACGATATCCGTCCACTTTCTTCTTCTTCATAAGATACGACCTGACCAGTGAAGGCCATCCATAAGACAAGAAAGGCCAAGAAGGAGCAGGAGCCACCGCATATCTCCTCGAAATAAGTTGCACATTTGCTTCCACCACGCTGGTCTTGGTGACTGGTGAAAGCAGATGGTTCGTGTTGGGTGAGGGAGAAAGCTGTGGAGCTGGTTTTGGAGAAATTTAATATATTGGAACTGTTTCTGGTAGATTTCCCAGCAGCCTCTGGATTATCGTTATTATGAGGGATGCGTGTGTGCCGAGAGGGAGAGAAAGCTGCTGCTGATGATGATAGGAAGCAGGGGTGAAACTGATAGATGGTGGCGAAGGCCATCATATCAACATGTCATAAAACCTCCTGCTTAGAAGGCACAATTTAATAGCCTAGTGATAGCCAGGCAGTATAGTTGATGGTGCGAATCTGCCCAGCACGAAGGTTCATTTTACCGTAACCCATATCTACACTTGATCTGTGTGTCGCATTTTCATTAGGAAATGAAATAAGAGACATACATACGCGAAAAAATTCTACGTTGCAACGCAATTAAGGATGATAATGATGGTCATATTTTGTAACTAAATATGATGTTCATTTTTCTACGTACCGCCATCTAATTTAATATGAATAGTGAAATTCTGTTTCGGTACTTTGCATATTGCGTGAGGGATTTGTTTGCAAATATTTCCTTTTGATATTAATTTCAGAGATTTCTGCAGGTCTTTGCATGGCTACGTGTGTTTATTTGAAGGCCACAGCAGCAACCCTGTTCCTCGTGTAGCCTTATTTGATCTTGACCAAGTTTGAAGACGAGTATTATGGGTTGAATTTAATAACCTTGTTGCGTATGAAATTGTAAAAAAAGTTGGGTAGAAATTCCTAGTTCAACAGCCTCAAACTCTGCGCTCTCGCTCATATTATATACGCAAAAGTATGCTGGAATGGGGAAGATGAAAGCTTTGATGTGGAAGTTGGAATTCTTCTTTGTGATGATATGCGCGAAACGGTAATGCATAAATTCATATTTGAAAGGCGAAGGAACTGGAAATGTTTGAAGGAGTAACCGACGTCGATCCTCCTGAGAAACTGCGGTTAATGGAACAAATGCAGTACCAGCCTCAAATTTCAGTGTAGGTTTGTAATGAATAGAGACCACCAGAGAGAAATAAGATATTGAAAGTTAAGGTCTGACAACAAATACGTTGTGGTGAAAGATGTAGGTATAGAAAAAGGGGTCCCATAAATTATGCCACGGAAAAGTAGACCCCCTTTGTCAAGGGTCGCCCCTACTATTAAAATGTGGCGAAAATTAATAGATCACGCTACCAGGTAACCCATCCTCTCCTCTCTCCTGTGACCCCTAAGGTGACTTCTTTGTTTTTAATGATATTAAATTATTTATGCACATACATCATGGGATTTTGAAATTTGAAGTACTGTTTCAAAGAAACTGAACTAATTATTCTGTTTTAATCCGTTTTCTTATTAATTGCAAGAATTTAAAACTTTAAAACTATTTTAACTTTGGCAGTGTGCATCGTTCCATAAGCCCGGATGGTTGTTATGTAAAGTAATGCAATATTAAGCCAAGTTCGCATTTCCTGGCTGCTGCGAACTGCAATTGCGCTAATTGCATAACAATTTTAGTTAAAGGGCATGCATTTCAGGAGAGAAAGTTTGACTTTGATGAATAAATGCCATTTGTTGGCATCATACCGAAGTCAACCACAAAGCTCATGATGCTAATGTAGGAATCCAACTACAAATAGGGACGACAACGTTACCCATGCTTCGTATACTCGTTCTTGCTTATTGCTTATCTACTTGCGGGTTCAAGCACTTAGCAAATAAATAGCCGGTCTTAATTTCCTCCGCTTATTTCGCTGTGCTTTTCAAGTTTTCTACTTAAGTCAATATCTTGAGAGCTCATTACTTCAACCCCGTCCAAGACAACGAGATGGGTTGGTCGATTTAATGGAAATGGGGTGTATGACGAGAACTAATTTTTGTCAATTTATCTGCGTGACATGTTATTTTATTGGATCTTCAGTTCACTTTTATGCTGGAAACAAGCATCACAATCTCCGCTTTCTTGAAACATACGTATTTTAATAGTTAACATAATACGTCGCGATGATTTTAGTGTGCTAATTTCCAACGATCCCAATGCATTGACGGACTGTTAGAAATAGTCCATGTACTAAAGAGGAAGTCAAAATGAAATAAATTGATACAGCAATATGTTTGGTAATTTAGTTGCAGAATGATAAAAGCAATGGTGAAAGCGATGGTGAAAGCAAACACCGATGATGATATTTATATGTCGTATCATACATATTGTGCAACGCATTGTACACACAGCTCAACGTTTCCTCCTTCATTGTCAATCTTTCAATTCCAATATGCTTTCACTAGAAGCCAACAAACTCGGCTGGCAAGAAGAGGAGATGAGCAAGTGTGTAGGACGATGTTGCTTATTATCAAGAATGATGGATGCTCAATCTCTTGAAATTTTCATCACAAAAGAAAAGGTGAATTGAGAGGACAAGGGAAGCCAGGCTGCTGCAGCTGATCACCAGCAGATGTTGAGCCAAGTGAAATGAAATTATGAAAATATTCGTTCCCATCCTCTTTCCACCCACTTGAGCCAAATTTTGCATAGAGAAGGGATGCACGCATGAGAGCAGGAAATATTGGATGCCACCGAGTTGTTTCATCGAACCGAGGAGTGAGAGAAAGCTGTTGTAAAATGCACGTCTATGATTTCTCATCCCCACACACTTCAGACGTCAGAAGTTGTTGCATAAGGATCATCAAGTATTTGCTACACATGCAGATACATATTTATGTATACATATATGTATGTAGATGTTGTTATCCTGCTCATACTAATGCCGAGAAAGTGCAATATAATTTATTTTCTAACTTGTGTAATTTCCCAATGAATAACTTTAAAGGTCAATTGGAACATTGTATGCTCTACATAATCTGCACGCGCTGTGTAATACAACGACTTTGACTTACCACACAACTGGTCTTCCATCACTCTGCTCCCGGAAGCGACCCACTTGTTATTTTGGCAGTAGATCACTTCTCCAGACTTGAGGTGGTAGCCTGGCTCACATGAAACAATCGCCTCGGAGTTGTCAGAGTATTTGCCATTGTGGGGAATGTCCTTCACTTGCACTTTCCCATTTATGATCCGTGGGGGATTGCAGGATGCGAGGGTTGAGGCAATATTCAAAGAAAGGGTTACGACAAGGAGGAGCAGGAAGCAAGCCCGCCTGAGATCCCTTCCAGATTTCCAGTTGCAATAAGTCGCAGTCGGAGGAGGACTCGTATTGGTGTTGACTTTTCGACAACGCTTCCCGTCACCTCCGTTTTTCATTTTCATTTCCAGGCTCATATTATGCATTTTTTTATGGCGATGGAGTCCCTTATTAAATATTCCTCTTTTGTTGTTTGCCATGATTTTGGAGAAAGTCTTGGGTTCGAAGCAGAAGTATTGTTAGACAGAAGAATTATATATTTTTAATGTTTGCAGGTAAAACAATTAATTGACTAATGTATGCACGTATGTGTGCAAGTATCTCTATGTTTGTAATACTTTCCGTCTAGTGATTCTGCACAAAGAGCGTCTTTATAAATATTTATTAATCTAAAGAGCAGAGGAATCCTGTTGTGATGTTGAAATCTTTTTCTTGCAAATTAGCTCTTCGTAAAAAGAAGTCCCAAGTGGACAATCCGCCTTCAGTCAGTCAGTCAGTCTTCCTTTTCAACTTTCACTCTGGGGCTCGAAGCGTAATACTTTGACTAAATTGTGTTTTAGTTGAAAAGTAAAAAGGTTTATGACCAACGGAAGGAGCAGCAGAGGTTGTGGTGGTGGTGGTCGTAGTTTGTATTGAAACAAGAAACAGGCAGGCAAACTGTAACAATGCTTTCTCCCTGGTCATGCACGTCTACATATATTTTCGCTTATCTGTTGTTTGGACTTCTCCGCATTTAGAATATGCACTAATCTGAGTTTGTTTCGCTGCGGACTGTGTGCAACTTTTTACTTTCGCCACTGGTTATTACGTGCAGTCCGAGTAAAATAATTCTCTCAAGTTCAGTTCTAAATCAGGGATCCGGCAGATCCGAACCATTAATTAATAACAGATCCCTATTCCACAAACTTGTCTCACTGCTCTCCGCTCTGCCCGAATGCTCGCGTTTTATGTTGACTTTAATTAGAGCTAAGCTTAGCTTGAAGACTCAACTGGAAATCTCTGAAAATCATTCTCTTCTCTCTTTTTATCTCAAACATTAAGACTTGATCACGAAGGAACAAGGGGAAAGACGGAGTCGAAAGAAATCAGAACTGAAGCTGTTTCTGCTCCTCTCGTGGTTGGTAACTTTGGAGCTCGTTTCAAGGGTCTTTAACTGATTAATTTGTTCTTGACTCGAGTCAGCAGACCAGTAAAGTGCTTGATTGCCTTATTCACTATCCACCTTTTGAAGTGCTTTCACTTTTTTTATGCAATTTATTTACGAAAACGTATGTTCCTGTTTTGTGATTGAGACTGTAATCGTATTTTTTCAAAAGTTTATAGATTGTTGGCTGATCCGTAGGTTAAATGGCTCAATTGGCAAACTTCAAATATCAATCGTTCGACTTTGTTTGACATGAGAAGATGAGACGACGAGTAAATTGAAGCTGTTGATCTTAGATATAGGGACATATATGGAGAGAGAGATTGGGATTTGATTCAGTCAGGTTCCAAGGAAAAGTTTTTGGGCTCGCTGTTTTATTTTCGGTAGCTATGTACATATATGTATGTAGCAGAGTGACCACTGAAGTATCAGTATGTATCAATCACGTGAAATGCGAAAACTGAGTTCAAAAGCAAGTCCTGTGACTGCAAAAGACAGAAACTGATCTCACGTCTCTCGAGAATAACTTGTGAACTTGTGTTGCGCAGCCCCGTGCTCAGTATATACACATACAATGAAACTTTGCTGATAGTTTCTGAGTATGAATTTGATGGTCGACTTGTTTTCTGGCTTCACATTTTCTTCCGGTCGAGTCAATATCTAGATTATGTTCTGGACTTCTGAATGAGACACGTCGAATATTAAAGTTCTCTTGTGCAACCCCAAATCGCCAGGTTGTGTGTATATTTATCCACCTGGATGGCTAACTGGGTGCCGAAAAATAAATGAAGTGACGAAATCCGAGACGACGACGACACAAATGCTTTTTTTCTCCAGGGGAAAGAACGAGATAAGACAGAAGAGGGCAACAGTTTGGAAAAATCAGATTGAACAAGAAACCAACTGTCACTGACTTTCACCCATTCGGAGCAAATCAAGATTTTCTATATATTTCTTTCCCTTTCTTCGCTGTCTCTTGGTTGGATTCAGAAACAAAACTCTTCCAGCTTAAATTTTCCGACAGAAGTTACTTGTACTCCGGAGGGAGATGGTAAGGAGAAACAAGAGGAGAAGCCACTTGTTCAGCAGATCCCCGGTTTTTCCTTTAGATTTTCAACAGCTTTTATGCGAGAGTTGAAGCACTTCAACAGGGCCGAAGTTGGAGCAGGAGTGAGGAGAAAGCCGATTGGGAAGTGAGTACCACACACGCGAACCGGTGGCGGCTGGTGAAAGTCGGCCGGGTTGTTGGGTAGCTACGTATTGAGGAGTTGGGGGATAGCTGAGTGATGTTGGTGCCGAGGAGCAATTGACTTCAAATCCACTTTCTTTTGTGGTGACTGGTGACACATGCCAAATGATCTATCCAGTTTGGTGATGGATTAGCTAGGCGCTTAATTATACCTTCTATTATTAGTTGTTGATATGCCAATGTCCCGTGTTATCAACCACACACTACCTCACGTATTTTGTCTGAAGTTCCAACTGAACAATGCAACTTGACACTTTTATCCCCACACCTATCGTGATTATCAAGTTCCAGACTAACATATGTAACATTATTGCTTTAGCTCGAAAGTGAGTGTACTAAATTAGTTGCAAGAAAAAAACATTTATGACGACAAATTGAATTCTCGTCGACCTTTGTATTTACTATGGTGCTGAGAATGTGTAAGAGGTCTATAAGCCTCGAATTTGGTCAAATACTCTAAAAGTTTGAATAGTAAGGGAAGTTGTAAATAAATACAAAATACTTGTTTGATGGTACAAACAACTCAAAACAAGAACGCACCACGTAATAAATACTTACTTCTGGTTGGTGGTGAAAGAAGTGAAGGACATAATATGGAAATGTGAATGTGAAAGAGACGTTATTATGGTATAATTAATCTGCGTATCCCGTGGTCCATGTCCAAAATGCCAACCACACATAGTCAACAAAGCAAATGCATCTGGTATAGCATAATCAATAAACTATGGTGGGCTTGTGTTGATCACGTCTGAAAATTTGCATTAGCTTTCATGCTAGGAATTTGGAAAACAAAATACAACTTGTCAAAGTCAGTGTAGATTTGTATCGAAACAAGAAACCCATTGCGAACAACACTTTCTAATTTCGGTTGATTATGATATTATTGTCATTAATTGAAAAAAAATATTGACATAAGTGCTGACAAGATAGAAGGCAATTTATTTACAGAGATGGCATTTTAAGTATATGAAAAAGGGGGTTGCTTTCTTTCACTAGAAACCAGTGTACGCACACGTACTTACTTCTTACAAAACACCTTTGTAAATAGAAAGCAATAAAAAGTCGTCGACATTGTGTTCCTATCAGTCACTGCCAAAAAATATTATCACACAGAAGCAGAAGAAATACAAGACACTTTATTGTATCTAGAATGAAGTAAGAGGAGAATGAATGGGTACAAGAAATGACAGGTATGTATTGTGAACTATGTATTGTGGATCGTACAATCAGTAAATTCCAGAGAAAAGTTATTTATACCAAAGTTAAAGTGAGTTTTACCAGCAGCCAGTGAACAAAACACAAATAAAACTCCTCTTTTAGCTTCAATGTACACGCGTTATTTGTTGAGTAGAGTGCCAATAGAAATATAAGAAGTAACCTAAAAAGCTCTATTCTATGAAAATAACTCTTAACAAATAAAAAAAACGAGTAAAGAAACAAAAGTTCAGTTTATGACCGTTGTAACTTACAACTTGTAAGATTAATTAAATATTTGATGAGTGGCACTCATAACTAATTAAGTGCAGTCGCCGTCGATGAGTGCATGTACAATGAGCTTTAGTGGGCTAAATTTCAGTTCTTATTGACAAAAAGCGTAAATGTGCGATAAATCTGCTGATAAATGCATAAATCTCAAAATTCTCAAGTAGAATTTCTCATATGCCGGACGAGAAAGTGAGATTTTTTAGTGAGCAGCCGTTGAGCTTGAGGAGCGACGACACTTCCCTCTCTCGCGACCACACTGGAAACCAGCACCGGGTCCCATAAGACGCTGCTCCTCGCATTTTAATATTTTAACCCTCCCGATGATTAACTTGAGTGTCGGCATTGATTAACTACAAATTACTGAAGGTATTTATTAAGCATTCTTCAGGTAATTGTGAGGGCTTAGTGTTTGTCCTTGATCTTTAATGATTCAATCTTTATCTCGTATTCGTATTCTGGAAGGTTTGCTGCCCTTCTCGTTCGTCTGTCGTCGTAGTAAATGAGGCCGTGGTCTGCTGGAGTTATCAGAAATTGCAAAATATTCGTTGTACTGGTCATCTTTACCGCAACGGACACTTTGCTCGTATACAAATCTTGGAAATACTACGGTCGCCAAAGTTCATCCGCCGGCCGCCGTGACTGATGTCCTTTCATATTTCTTACCAGAATAAGGAACGAATTTCTCCATTCAAATCTATCTGAAATAGTTTGAAATGTCATCGGGTTATCGGAGAGATTTTGTGCCGCGTGGAGGAGGTGGATACACGCGAGGCAGAGGTCGAGGAGGATTCAAACAAAGACCCAGGTATTGGGACAATGACGACTACTATGATAGAGATAAGGTGAGCCGTAATCATATGTTAATCTCAAAAATAAAATGTATTATTTTAACATTATAGTAATTATGGCATTAATTACAAATTATTAGGGACGTGGAGGAAAACGAAGGTATTCCAGATCAAGGTCAAGGAGCCAAAGTCGAAGTTACAGTCGAAGTAGAAGCAAAAGTAGGAGTCGAAGCATGAGTCCTCGAGATAGGCGACGTTCCAATGAATATCGTCGATCATCGTTGGAAAATCCATCTCATGAGCCAGCCGCAGTAGAAGCGCCAGGTATTTCACCAGCTAAAGGTCACTATAATAACGCATACGTTCACCAACCAATGAAAGCTGTGGAAAATGTCGAAGCAAATAACTGGAGGCCTGCCTCTTCTGGATTTACGTCAGAGTTTAGCTCGAGTAATGGGAAAGAGAAAATCGTCATGGACCAAGATCTATTGCAGAGGTATCAGTCCCACAGTGGCAATATGGACGATCCTTCATTGACATTTAGTGGATATGGATATCCTCCAAACATCCCGAATGAAAATGTTCCTCAACTTTATCACCAACCACCTGCTGTTGGAGGAAAACCTATCCACCAAGGTGGCGACTCTGACTCGACGAGCCATAAGAAAAAGAAGGAAAAGCGTAAGAAAAAGAAAAGTCGACGAAAAAGCTCATCATCCTCGTCTTCATCGTCAGATTCTTCATCCGAGGAGTCTCGACAAAAACGCAAGTCGGTAAGTTGCAAAAGTTGACCAAAGTCGTTAACCTTAACAAGTTAACTTTTAAACCTATATAATGATATAATAAGCAAGTATGATGAACAACAAATAGACAAGCATATATCGGATTCATAATATGAAGTTAATACTTTTCTGACATTTATTACATCTTTCAAGGTGTTTACACATTAGGTGTAAATCTATCTGATATTATTAATTTGAAGGATTATTTTATTATATATTTTAGAAACGAGACAGTGATGACAGTTCTAATTCTTCGTCTGAAAGCGAAGGAAGGCATCAAAAGGAGAAAGAAAAATCGACTGCAGCTGAAGCAACTGGGAGTAGACTAACAGTTGAACAACGTCAAGCGTTGATAACTCAGCAAGATTCTTACAAGCAAAAACTGGAAATTATAGAACGTGAAATAGGGAAACTGCAAACTAAGGAAGACGAGTTGAAGAAAACGCGTGCAGATATCCGGTTGGTCGAAGAGAATTTAAAACTCCAGGTATTTCTCTCGATCTGTTTTTTTATGTTGTAATTTGTTTGTCAAGTGGTACAATACCGATGATGTGAAAACAATAGACAAGCATATGTCTGAATATTCTGCGATGATTAACTATAGTCTGAGGTTATACTCTATATTTAAATATACAGAGTATTTAGTAGTTGTTGAGTTTGTCTATTATTTCACATCAATTCCCAATTTTTTTATGACTTTTTCTATCTTTCTTTCCCAGGCCGAACTGAAGGGAAGGTGTAAAGCCGTTCACATTGTACTTGAGAAAATCAGCAATGTTCTCGTTGCGGATAAATCTGTAGGAGCTGAGAAAGCTCATCCACCCGTGCCTCCTCCTCCCCCCAAAATAAGCGAACCAACTAAAAAATTGGTTGAAATGGTAAAGTAAATAAGTTAGCAAAATCAAAAAATACATGCAATTTATTATTTACCAGTAGAGTTGTCTCATCTTGACTACATCTTCAGTTTCAATCAATCAACTGTTTGTATTTCTTAAATAGAAACCTACAAAGATAGATTTGACTGATGTGGATTACGTCGATAACGGACAACACTGGTGCAGATTGTGCAACGCATTTCCTGAAACTGTTGAACAAATGCTAAATCATTTTCATAGTACAGCACATCGAGACACGGTTGAGGTAATATTACATGACATTTTTAGTTATGATAAGTTATTTTTGCGATTAATTATGATGATTTTTAATTTGACAAGCATATGTCTGAAAAATTGCATGTAGATTATTTTTTGTCTGAACTTATAGATTTGATTAAACTGTTGTCAATTGGGCTATTTGAACACGAATTTATTGCCGTTATATGTTTCTAGCAATTAGGTATTGATGACAAGCCTTGGAATAAGAGAAGTGCTAAAGTTGATCAAGCAAATCCGAGCAAATCTGCCAAAAAACTTCCACTGAGAGGTGCGTAAAAATATAAAATACAGAAATATTTATTCTGACAAATTGCAATACCAAATTGCGTATATACAAATTTGCATATTCAAAATATTTTTGTAGGGATGCAGTTTTTCTCTCCTGTGGAAGGCTGGTATTGTCGCCTTTGCAACAATTGGATGGGAGATCAGATTGGTGCTTCAATTCATCTCAAGAGCTTGGAACACAACAACAATTACTGTGTAAGCATTAAAAACCACTGTACTTACACCTATTAATTTGTTCAGGTGCTTGAAAGTTATAACGCCTGCGAAGATGAGGCTGTTATATTTGTATAACGGGGGAATATGAGATCGTAAAAACGTTTTCCTGCACCAATCTCTTGATTCCTATTTAACCTAAAAGTTATCAATTCAATCAACTATCCTGGTGTTACTATACCGAGTAGGTATGAAAACTTAATAGGGTGCAGCCAATCAGAGTGACGAGACTAATGTATTCCTTCACTTTTATGCAGACCTTTCTGGATGAACACCCCGAATGGGAGGAAAAATGGAGCAAAGATCGTGAAAAAGCCCGACTGAGAGCTCTGGGCGATGGAAAACAGGATTTTCATAAATCAAGATTTGACCATCCGCAACCAGCACCAGTTAATGAAAATGATGACAATAATGGGAGGAGTGGCAGCATTCGAGTGGTAACAATAATTTCTAGCATGTTTTTTTTTGTTTTTATGATTAGAATTTACATGACGGAAGCTTCTAAATCATCGTCCTGTGTAACTACACTTGTGTCTCTTGTTCTATTTTCCAAAATACTGATTTATCATTGAATTTTTACTGTCCTTTCTAAAATGGCCACATAAGTAGCATCTTGGCTTCAAGGGGTCTTTACATACGACACGTCCCTCTAACTAAACATAACGGAAAGATAACAAGTATCTCTATTAGTCCCGGTACACACAACAAGACAGACATATTTTATTTTTTAATTCCAGCAAATGCGTAACACGATTAAATTAGAAGATCTGAAGGGATCTGGTGATTTTATCAACAAATTTCAACCCAAGGATTCTAAGATTGACGAATGGATGGGAAAACCACAAAAAGCCCCACTAGATCTTGTTGACACTCAAAAGTTTGCCGAAATCGTTCGACAGCGACATGGAGTTAAGAAAGAAGAAGAAGCTGCCAAACTTCGAGAAAATGCTTTGGAACAGGCAAGATCTTTGCAATCGAAAGGACGTGATCAAGAGGATAAAGAAATCGGGGGACGAGAAATTGACAAGAAGCGCCCTGAGCGAGTGGAATTACAAATATCAGCTCGTGAGAACAGAGACCGCGATCGTTATCGTGACAATCGTGGAGGAGCAGGGGGAGGTAGCAGGCGAAGGTAATACTTATTTATATTAAACTACTATTCGCTACCTAACGCTGTATGTATAATATGTAGTAATAACAGGCATAAATGGCTCATGAACCCGTTAATTAAAATTAAACCTTTCATTCATTCATTTTAGAAGTCGGAGTAGGAGTAGGTCGCGTTCAAGATCGAGAGATCGAGGATATCATGGCCGACGAAGGTCTCGATCACGTTCTCGGTCTCGAGACAGACGGGATAGAGAAAAGAATGCTCGGGGGCAGAGCCACTTAAGAAGCAGATGCCTATCATTGGGAAAATGCCACTATACAAACGTCCTATTATTGCTGGAAAGGACAAATTGACAGTCGCCGTTTCGAGCGACAATTCCCAAGTAGTGGCAAGTAGTGCAGTTGCTGTGTCTGCAGCTAGCCATTATGATGACACCGCCCCTGGTTACGTTGAATCATTTAGTCACCACACCATGTCTACATCGTCTAGCTTTGATCATCCACCCCGTGAACATTCCACCTATGTCCCTGCTAACAAGACTATCGACGATGGACATAATAATGCATTTGTACCTGTTTCAACAGTGGCCCCCGTAGTTGGACTGCGACCTGATACAGACTTGAAGCCTCCTGGTGAGCATATGTTTGAAATGGCTAACTAGTAAACATTATCATGACTGAATGCTTTTAATAACAAGTTGAATATTTGATTTGTGTAGGTGAAAAAGAAGCCCCTGGTGAGTTAAAATCAAAACTTTGCTACACAGTAAGTATAAGTGAATAATATTGATGCGTTTTGCAGGTGGCACTAACTTGCCTGACGATCTCCAACAAGCTTTAGACATTATTTACAGAGGGGGAGGAAGTGGGAAGCCCATTACAGTTCCTCCTCCAAACTTTCCTCAAGCAACGGTACCACCTCCCCGCTTACCACCCCCGATGATGGGAGTTCCTCCTCCAGCAGGGCAAGCCCCATATGGTAATTTTACTCTACATTTCACTCTACACTCAAAGTGCAAATCAATCCAACTTAATTTTTCTTATGTAAATTAGACTATACGGCCATTCAGTCTGCCTTTTCGTCTTCTACAAATTACTATGAGCCGTATCAAATGCCATTTGATGGATATGGAGCATCAGCGTCAGATATGGAAGAGATTTCTGTTGCAGGCAACGTTCCTGCCGTTGAGAATCCCGTCGCTGATAAACATGAAAAAGATAAAATGGAAACCTCATCTTCATCCACCTTAAAGACTGTTGCCGGGCTGGAAACTGGGGACGATGATGATATGGATGATCTACGGATGCTAGGAATTGATGTTGATGATGTTGCTGTAGTTAGAAAGTGATGATAAACTGCGGTAAAGTTTATGTTTTAAAATAAAGTTGAACAACAACTTTAAACTGTTATTAATAAAGATACATATTTGCAATTCTTCTGCCTTCCAATCTACTTAACTTTTTAGAATACAGTAAATTTACCCTTCTATTTCTTTTGTAACTTTTATCGACTTGTATGTTTATGTACACAAAATTACTCTTGTTTTTGCTATGAATGTTACCCGTAATAAATGTGATTGTTTCTTTTGCACAAATTTTTATTAACGTCTTAAACTCTTTGAGATTTTTACTTACAAGTCGTCATATATTTTAACAATAAATAAACAAACAAGTAAAAACATTCGCAGACTTGACAAGGTCGTATCAAGTTGTAATAAATATAAATAATACACTTTTTAAAATCTTAAAATAAATCAGTCGTACTAATATGGATGCGACTTTTTTCAGATGCTAAAACACAATTTTTGAAACATGCTGCTACAGACAAAGCATCATCAACCGCTTATTTTTCAATGCCAAAAGAGTCTATTTCAACTGGTTTGGAAATCCAAGTGCCATAATTGGTATCTTTCATATGAGCTTGAAATGCATCTTTCGCTTTCTGCAGAAATGGGGAACGAATAGTAATTTTGTTCATTCAATAGTACGGTCACCTTTATGTAATCCAAATACTTGCATGTAATTGTACCTGGTATTCCCCAGCCATAAGTTTTGCTTCTTTGTAATTAAGATTTACAAATCCGTCTCTCCGGCCCCACTGGTTTCTATACAAGGTCAGAAATCTGATAAAAGACATTCTTTTGGCCAAACGAGATACTATCCCTCCAGGCTCACAACGACCCTTGGACGCAGTAAGAATTTCTGGCGTTGACCAGCCATACGTCCAACAAATTGCCTGTAGTGAAATGCAGATTCACAGTGGGTTAGATAATATCACTATAATTATATAAAGTATTTATGGTGTAAAATTATTTACATGATTTGGACTCTTTTTGACAACTCGTTTTTCCTGATGACTAACCATCAATAAGTGCGCACGATTTATTTTAAATGGAAGAGGAATCTTCCCAGCTAAGGATTCAATCCTTCCTAAAAGCGCTCTGAAACAGATACATATTTATTAATATAGACATTAGGAAGGGAAATACGTTGAATCCTGACCATTAGATAAAGTTTTTATATATTTTACAAAATTAGTTCAGGGGTACAAAATATTGGTCATCTCGAAACGCTATCGGAATCAAGGATTCTCACTGAGGTTTCATCTACTTGTCCAAAACCAACCATTTTTATTAATGTGTTGATTTGTTTAGCAGAATTAAAGTCGATAATGTTTTATCATATACCAAACAATATTGTTAAAAATACTGTATCATGAACTCAGATTATCATAGCCAAACATGCGTCGTTGAAGGTGCACTAAATATGTGCTATCTGATTTGTTGGTTGTTGTATTTCCTATGTCTCCAACATACATGGAGGGATGAAACGGCCAAAAATCAGTTATCACATAATGCACCTTTAATAACGATATCCAACTGTATGGCTTTAGGCCATGAATCTAATAAGTATTTTAGACTGCAAATAATTTTGAATGATTTCACCAAATCTCACCTTTTAAAATGAACAGGATGATGGAGGCTCCCAAGGATAACACTAGAATAATACACTGGAAACATCAGGTTTGACAATAAAGCCCCCTGTATGCCAATCACGTTCCACCGACATAATTTGTCTGAACATGACATGGTGAAAAGTGCATTTCCCTGGACAATGGAGTCAAACGTTTGTGGCCCTACATTGAAAAATTTTCAAGGAACATTTATTTTCCTAAATCGTCCAACGAAATAATTTACATGCCCATGTATTTATATATTTAAATGATATTTATACCTGTAAGTAAATTTGCAACAGGTATGGTACCTGTAACAATCAAACAATAGAAATAAGAAACAGAGACGAAAGCGGCGAATAGGAAAAATTAGTGAAAATTTGGTACACAATTTTTATTTTGGTATTGTACCTTCCCCAGCTTCAACCTTAGCTCTTAAAACTCCACGATTTCGTCTTGTAGGGTGAGAATCCTGCAGATCGTCAGTTGGCTCTATTTCTTCGTCTGTTGCCTCCAATCCTTTTGGCGAAAAAATTCTGAAAAATAACAAAGATAGTGATCATCACCTGTTAAGATTAATGTCACACAACATTAACAACAAACGAATAAAAAAAGCAAACCTTGCATCGCCACAAGGAGAAGTACTTATATACAGATGGAACTTCACATTCTCCTTCACCATATAAAATACTTCCCCAGTATCGGATTTGACCTCTTTTAAAATGGATTCCTCAAATTCTTCGTCAGTCGTTGAACAACCAATATTCTCCACTTCTGAATAGAGAAAGTCTCGAAGGCATCTTGTTGCAAGTATTTCTGCGTGACAGTCATTTATTGCAAGTCCATCGGTTGACATAAAATCCCCTTCAACGCAAAAAGTTGTATTATAATTAAATAACCTTATGAAACTAAATATTAACTAAAGCTTAACTGTCAGTATCACCGTGAGACAGTCTCTCTCTCTATGACTACTTTACCCTTACTTTACCTTCAACTTGTTTAGAACTACTTTCTACTTTACCTTCAACGCATTTTGTCCCAGTCGTAACAGCGATAACTTCTCCATTTTCTATCATGGGATTGCTGCGAGTCATAACAATTCCGGCAAGAACCTTTTGTGAAATATAGTCTTGATGATTTGCCATGATATCTTCGTATTTTTCATTGACTATCCTATGAAAAAATGGAGGACAAAGTGTAAAATTAAGCTGCATAAAAAAATGAAAAGTATGTACTTCGCTAAATGTAAACACCTGGCAATGTAATCACTGAAAGTTAGATCATATTCACTGGCATTGATAAGGTCTTCATTAATAAAGTGCGCTGGAATCAATTTTTCTGGCGTGTCTTTTAAACATTCCATCGTCTGTTGTTGCTGCTGCTGTTGCGGTTTTTGATTTGTTTTTCCATGTGATTCTAATATCAAAAGCTGATAGACGTTGGATCCAATTAATGCAATCAATGCTTGTTTTGCAGCATGTTGTTTGGCTCTCTTCTTACTACCACCTTTGAAAATTGACATTTTTAATTTGAATATACAATAAATGCTGGCTGGTACAACATGCATACGCTATGTACTAACCAGTTCCAATGAATGTCATTCCTGTCTTGAGACATAGTTTTAGAACAAATTTCTTATTATGAGGTGGTCCATCTTGGCTAATTTCTTCAAATTCAACCGCTTCTGGTCCGATAAATGTATTAAGAGCACATAGGGAATTGTTTTCAAAATCTGGTATATTTTTAAGTCGTTTCAACGACGGAAGTTCAATCGCTGTAATATAAAACATAAAACAGGTGTTGTATGTAATTGATAACTAGTTTAATTATTTGAACTACCTTGAGGGTTCAAATTCTTGACACAAAATTCGGAGGAAAACATTTCAACATCTTCGTCTTTTGTAAAGTCCTGTGTCGATGGAATAAATGGTAGATCAATAAAGTTAGGAGCTAAATAGTTGATCATTGGAGTAGTTCTAACAAGAAACAGAAGATAAAGAAAGATTTCAGTTCAGATTCATATTTGTTAAGTCTGATCAGTGTATATAAACTTGTAACTTTTGTACATGGTATTCATTATGTTCGACTTGGCAGGTTCAATTTCCATTGTCTCATCTACGGGTGGAATGTCAGTTCCAAGGCTCCTTAGTATGTTTTCAGATGCATTTAACTTTGCCAGCTTTTTTGATCGACCTACGCCAATGTACTCTTGACCAGTTTCACCAAGCTATGCGAAAACCAAGTAACTTAATTAATGAAATGAACGATATCACAATAAAAATGTATATCATGCTGTTGGGACTACCGGAAATTTGACTTTGCAAAGAAACTTAGGATTTGCCAGACTCTCTTTTACATCCTCATAGATAAAATCAAGGTTCGGACTTATTTCGTTCAACAGTGCAGTTGCAGGCTTCTGAGGAGTAATTTTCAACTTTTTGTAAACTTCCGGGTCACCTGCTCGGAAGATTAATGTACCAAGTGATTATGTTGTCTTCCTCATAACTATATTAAACAATTTACTTTTGTACACTCACCAGTCATATCAAGTGCCCGTTTCTTTGATTGTTTGCCTGGTTTCCGAGGGACAAGTTCCATGTTAGTTGACGACTGACTATGACCTGATTGAAGATGAGTAATGATCCCTTGAGGAGGCTGCTGCATCTGATCATCCTGTTCTGGCTGATTTCCTTCTCCAGCTGGAATAAACTTAATTGGACCTTCCCTCTCTAGTATGCTAGGTTTCAGGTCGGGTCTTTCAGGAAAATAGTATCTTGGCGTTTTCTTAAAATATCCCGCATCTTTCTTCGGTCTTCGCCTTAGGGGGGATACGGTTGACGGATTATATTTGGACACCCTTTCTAAAATGTTCTCCATTATTTTTCCACCATGGCCTGGCGATGACGCTGTGTTCATTTTAGGAACATTTTGAAAGGGGTTCCCCAATGCGATGGGTATGAAATTCTGAGACTCGGGAACGACAGATGGGATGGGTGTAGCATGCGTGTTGCCTGGAATTTCTTTCCCTTGAGTTCCGCCGGTTGTGAAAGGATCCATCCTGTACTGGTAATTTATCACTTTATCAGTATTCATCAATTTCATAATTTCATCATGAGCATAAAACATTATGTGCAATGTACAAAATAAAAATTACGAACAAATATTATACTTACGACTTATCACGTTATCACTTCGCTAAATAAATAAAACACGACTCAGCACTCTGCCCGGTATTTCTGTGAGAAGTAGAACAAAAGTAACTGCACAAATCAGTTTGTAATTTTTAGATGAACTATGTTTAAACGGTCAAGAAAACTTAAAATATATTTTGTCTTTGAGTTTAAACAATTTATATTTTGTGTAATTACAAAATTAGAAAATTTATTAGAAAATTTTTAAACAAAATTAAAATTCAACACTTCACACTTCTGAGCACATTCTTATTTCGCGGGCAGACTTAAACTCAATGCTGCAGAATATGGCAATATACTATTTACGTTTACTTTGTTCAAATCATGACAAATTGTGATTCACAATAACAAACATAAAGTTTACTTCATGAAAGTATGTCTTTAAATTATTATTTTATTCAGTTGTGGGGGAGAGTACACGAGCGATGACGTGGTAATAATAAATTTGTTAATTCAACTATTGTAGGGGCCCTAACTAACATGTATAAAGCTGACTTGGGTGCATATCACCGAATCGATCGCGAATAAAAACATCAACAACACACGACTTCACACTTCACTATTCGACGACGAGGATACGTATATAATAACACAGTACTACTACAAAATCTAACGTTAGTAGTAATACCTAGTAGTGTAAAGCTAAAATTGATTTTGAAATTCAATCGGCCGAAATGAACAAGATTGCTTCCCTCTAATAATAATAAAATTCATGATTTTATGTCACAAGGAACCGCAAATTCTGTAATATAATATGGTTATGTCAATTTGCTGCTTCTTTGCCAACTTTCATCACGGGGAAATGAATGTGTGAGGAGAAATCAAATTCAGGAGGTGAACGGGAATCTTTGGTATGTCCACTGGCAAGTAATTTCACAACGACAAAGTTGGTCTTAGCAATTTTCAATAAGTCCAAGACCTATAATTCAAATGCCAACAAAAAGTTAGACTTGTCTATTAACATTATCATGTATTGTTCGATTATAAATTTAAAATACCTCCTTTTCAGAACCAGGGATTGCTTCGAGCAATTGCTTGGCTTGAAGAAAGTTTTTAGTTGCAGCTAAATAGAGATTTGCAGCGGGTTGAGCGGAGGCCAGTTCGCTAATATATATACATCAATAATAAGTCAGTCATTCATTTTAATTGAATCGTTCTTGAGCTTAAGTAATTAATTCATTATGCTGGTTGGAATTGTAATGATCCCAGCCAACGATAAACGATACCAACAAACAGGCAAAATGAGTAAAATAGCGCACGAACTACGATCTTACCTAATCTGTTTGTACTGCATATAATGAACTAGTGATGGCGTTTGTATTGGAGCGAATGGTGCGAAACGATGACGATAACGACATTGCTCATTGTCGAATTCGATATTGGGAAAGGGTATTCTGTTATCATTGATGAGCCCCATAAGTGTCTGTAATCCACAGAAAGCCTCATATATACATTTTTTAGCAACATGCTGAATTAGAAACTACCTTAAAATAACCACCAGTCAAATTTTGCTCGGCTTGAAGAATCAATAATTCTTTGGTGTACGCTTTAGATTTAGCTTTGCTATTTTTTTGACGATTTTTTCCACTTCTCTTGCCATTCTTATCGTTTAGTAATGTTTCACCCTCCAACATGTATGCTTCTGCTCGACTATACGTCGACAATAACCAAGCGTACAAAATTTCATTCAAGTACCAATAAATGTATGCGTATTCCTGAAAGAAAAAAAATAAAGACAGATTTTGAGAAAAATAAAGACGTAGTTTTTAAGTAATAAGCCAGTATGAAACTGTCTCTGCCTGCTTGAATTTGACTTACATGAAGAGCGTATAATTCCAGTTCAAATCCAGAATAAATGTAGCGAATCATAATTTTGCTGATGTGGCAGAGAAGCCATGTTCCGAAACAATTTCCGTGTTGTCGAATGCCATCCATTTGCAGACACAGAGAGTGTACATAATTATCAATTTTTTCCGTCTATTTTTAAAGAATGTCGAAATAAAATATTAAAATAAGACCAGAGTTCCTTGCTGAAGCACTTAATTAAGCACTCACCTCATTTTGTAAGTTTGCAAAATCTTCCATCAAATGTGCCAATTTATCTCGCAACCGGGCTCTGCACATGAATAAGAAAACGTCGCCACATTTAACATGTACCTTCGGAACATGAACTACGTACCACGTATGTGTGTAATAAATATATTACTTAAAGCTAGGTATTTTACCTATTGTGACCACACGCAATTAGTACGTTCGCAAACACTGTTGCACTCCTTTCAAAAAACATATCTACACATTCTGACACCTGTAAAGAATACAATCACTTAAATTCGAAAAACTTACACTACAAAACTAATAAATTGATTGAGATCAACACTACCTCTCTATTTTTTCCTTTAAATTTAGACGATAAAACAGGAGGTGCAATAAATCCTCTAACAGATTCTTTCATGACATCCATCATGTCATCTAACCCAGGTTTCTTAAATCTCATTGGTCCATATAAAAGTTGCAAAAGTGAACGAGAGAGTACACATGGTCGCGTTTCACTAAACGCATGAAAGAAATCTACGATTCCATGAAAGTTTTGAAGAAGCTTCACTTTCAAAACTGTCTTTATCCGGTTTAGAAGGCCTTCCATAAATTTGAAAGCATCTTCGGTGGACTTGATTTTTGTAGATCGGGGAAATGTTGGCGGTAGCAAACGCTGAAACAGTTAAATAAGTTTAAAAATGAGCTAAACAGGTTGAAAACTTAAATTACATTTAAAGTATGATTATTAGGGTTTTTATTATTATTGTTACCTGATTGACCAGAAGCTCGAATCCAACCATGAACGTATCTGTTTTGTAATCAGGTTAATTTATACATCCGTAAAATGAAATACAATATTAATCATGCAATATTAATATTATACCTGATTCATTCATGTTTCGTTGGGTGCCTAACGATGCAGTTTTCTGTAGTACGACAAGTGTTTCTTGACACCCAACGATCAAAGCTGGACATTCTGCAATGTCATCCCGCTTCCAAATATGCAAAATTAACGAGTGAAACAAGCGAAGAAATTTCATACGACCAAGTAGAGCATCAATTTTGTCCATGTCATTAATATCTTCTAGCTCTGGGATTTCATTTACACCAACTTGAGTAGGAGATTTTTGTTGAGTTTTACTCATTAATTTGATTTTCTTTTGAAGATCATCTTCACATTCACGCAACATGCTAGATGTCTTAGAGTCGGTAAACATGGTGCCTAAATTGTACCCATATACAGAAGGCTGAAAATCCTCTTCTTCAAAAACCCCAGCTCTAAAAAAACAGTATTTAAATATTAATTATTTATAATCGAGTGATTTAAATATCTTGTATTGATAAAAAAATATCAGCCTACTTGTTAATACATTCTTCTATGACATCAACTAATTTTAAACTTGCAACTGATGTTGCCCTAAGATATTTATCCCCAATTGCAGTGGGTCTATGTAAGTACAAGTTTGTAAAAACAGTTTGGGCCAAGGAATGTCCCTCCATCCACGTAACGAGGCAGCTAATGGTTGTATCGATAATTCCAATATGATCTTCATATGACACATTATCCAGACAGAGAAATCCCTCCTACCAACCAGTCAATATAAGGATTATTCATTCATTCCTGAAATTAATCGTAATATGTAAATAATTCTGTTCCACTTACCTGAACTGCCTGGTCGAAAGTGAGAATAGGCCGCTTTCCCTTGTTGCAAATCATGGACGCGTCCATTTTTGGGTCCATCATTTCAATTGCAGACATGGCTTCAAATAGACCAAAAGAAGGGTCGTGGAGCAATTCTCCTAGCTCGAGACCTATTTAGGACAATTTTAATATGCCAAATTATTAGCTATAAAAACTGAATAAAATTACTTTAGCCATAAAAATCATACTTTTAACAGCTTCACAAAACTGTCCCGTGATATCCAACATTTCATCGTCTTGAGTTACATCGCCATCTTGATAAAACTTTGGCGTGGGGTCCAAACAGTTTGTAACCACCAGTGAAGATTTATCTTCCGTCGGGTAGTCATTCTTCGAAGAACAATTAGCACCCACTCTTCCCAAAGATACCTTCGGAATTCTGACTTGTTGCTGTTGGGATTCAAATTTGCAAGAAACAACAGGCAATTCGGATGGTGCCACCTGTCCTGTGACTACAAAGTTTAATTCCTGTGAATCATTCATATTGCTAGCATCACCACACAACGTGACGGATGTGGTCAAGCCCAATTCGTCGAATCCTAGCATTAGTCCAGAGCTGTGATACTTTCAGAGAGCTATAACAGAGAACATTTGTCTTTCTGAATATAGAAACACTTTCGTAATTGTATGCATTTTTTGACGCCATCCACCCCATCAGCTGTTGGTACTTTTGTGCACTATTCATATGCAACATAAGTCAAAGGTATTGATATTATTATTATTTAACCTGAAGGTCGGTAGAAGGTCGATATCCTAAGTAACTTGGCCCACTGAAACACAAATTCGGAGAATACAAATGTAAAAGTATCCTAAACTAGTATTTATAGATTGTAAAAATATTTTAATTAGACCTCATACGTGAAAAGCTGTAAAATTCGAACTTACGTATATATTAGTATTCTTAAACAATTTGACCCCATCCGGATCCGGAAAGTAAGTAAATTTGCCCCAAATTGTACTTTTGATTTTCCGACCTATTTCGGTAAAGTTTGCTCAATCCTTCTCGTGACCAGTTAATTTATCCATTCAATTTAAACTCGGAGGTGAAGTGCCAAGTAAAAATTTGGAACAAAAACGAGCTGATTATATTATGTATGACAGGGCATATAATTAATTGTAGTAGTGTTATGTACTTCCTGGCTATTATTTACTTGACTCTAATTATTTATATCAAATTGAGAAGGATTTTATTTTTGAATTGCGAAGAATTGTGTGTAAAAAAAAATTTGCAATACTTTTAAAACGATTCATAGAATGAGACAAGATCTACGTGAATCTACGTGAATCGCCAGGGAATGGATGGACCCCCGTTCAAATGGTTCCAGTTGGCGCAAGTTTAGCAAAGTCTATGCCACTCATACTACACATTATCGCCAGAAAGGCGTCATTATGTCATACTGCTCGTGTTGTGAAAAGTTAAATTCGTCATGTGTTGACAAGGAATTATGTAAATGAGTAAATCCTCCTAATATATATCTATGAAAGAAAGTTTTATTCAGCATAAAAGTTCCAACAAATAACTACAAGATAATGTCAACTAATTAGTATTTGCGTTAGTACAAAACAACTGCAAATGTTACAATTAATAAGGAAAAGTATTACAAAAACGGTATTAATTTAGTATTACATCTTTCCTACATATTTCAACCCAACAATATTAAATCCGGCTTTTAAGATGTTGGCTGTAGCTTCGCACAGAATAAGGCGCTCCATGTGGATTTTTGTAGTATTTCCTAAGAGAGAAATACGCACAAAATGATTGAAGTTGAAAAAATTATAATAAATAATAAGTTTTAAATATAAAATAGGTTGTACAGACCTGCTTTGTCCTTTTCAATGCAATAACAGGTATCATAGAACTCGGAAAATGATGTAGCAATGTCGTAGAGGAGTTCACAAATTGGATGAATGAAAAGATTATTGGTTGAAGTTTCAATTATCTCGGGAAATTGTAACAGCGTCTGTGATAAAAAAAAACAATTACAATTTGTGAGACGAAACTGTCAAGAAATTTGGTAGAAAGCTTACTTTCATCAACTTTATCTCCTTTTCATGAGAAAGCTGGATGGGTTTGGTTTTAGCATATTCCTTTAATTGTTCTAGTGTGACACCAGCTCTACGAGCAATAGACGAGATACGAGTGAATGCATACAAGAGGTAGACTGCGGTATTTCCTTTATCATCCAACATCTGATTATTTAGAAAGATACGAATTAAAACTTAATTTCTTCTAAATCATCATTCTTTTACATTACCCTGTCATAAGAAAAGACGTATTCATGGTTCCTATTACGTGACAAGTCAGCGTACTTAATAGAACTGTATGCCACAGCAGCTTTGGCTTCATCGAATTCCTCTGGTGTCATTTCTTTGTCTCTACCCTTTTCCCTTAACTTTTCTTCAGCCCGTTTAATACCTAAAATTAGTAAAAAATTAAAATACGTGTGTACATATATATACTCTAGTTATCACGATTTTTATATCAAATTCTTGAATGGAAAATTTCACTAACCTTCGTCCAACAAATCGGCCAATCTCACCGTGTCTCCTGATCGAGTTTTAAACTTTTTTTTGTCTTCCCCGAGTACAACGCCAAATTCGACATGATCCACGCGAACTTTTGATGGGTCCAAGATCCCAACTTTTTCTGCGCAGTCGAAAATTGTCTGAAAGTGATTAGACTGTCCAGCATCGACTACATAAATCAACCAGTCTCCTTGTTCTTCTTGCACACGATACTTGATTGTGGCCATATCGGACGTGTCATAGGTAAATCCACCGTCAGATTTCACAATTATTAGTGGGACTTTAGTCTTGTCCCCAAACATAATTTTTCGTACACCTACATAAATAAACACATAAAAAGGTAGTGGTGATATCGATTATATTTCATGTAGACCTATTAACTTATTATTAAACTCACCCGTCAGTGCACCATCCCCTTCTGGACAATCATCAATAAGTAATCCTAATAAAATATAAAGATTGTTAACCAACAATCCCAACTACTGCATCCTACATGTGATACTTGCAGTATTATAATTTACCTTGAGCTTCAAATTCTTTGACCAAAATTTCCATTCTTGATTGATAGAACGATTCTCCTTTCTCAGTGAGATTTTTAATATCAAATCGTTCATAAATTTTGGAAAATTCTTTCCGTGACACGTCACAAATCATATTCCAAGCTTTCAAGATTTCAGGCTTGTGACCTTGCAATTCCACAACACATCCATATGCCCGTTTTTTAAAGTCCTCGTCCTCATCAAAACGTTTCTTGGATTCCTAATCAGAAATAGTAGTATGTGATAGTATTGCATAGTAAAATTTTATCTGCCAAAATATACATACAAGAAATAGAGTTACATGTACAATATTTATTATAGGTATTCACCTTGTAAAATCCTTGTAAATCACTAACAGGAAAATTATATCCCTCAGATAAATAATCAGGAAACTTGTCCTTAAGGTGAGCAATTAGCATTCCAAATTGTGTTCCCCAATCTCCGATATGATTTACACGAACAACTTCATATCCCAAAAACGTCATTAGCCGAGAAATACTTTCTCCAATTATGGTAGACCTACAAGGGGTTATTTAATGATATTTGATATAATTAGTGCTATTAGTTATAATAGTGATTTATCTAGAACATGGTATTTGTTTGTACCTAAGATGTCCGACGTGCATTTCTTTCGCAACATTTGGAGCAGACATATCTATCACGACTTTTTTCTTGGCTACAAGTGGAGCTAACTTTACGTCGTTCACAAATATGTTGATAGTTTCGTCAACTAGAAACTTGTTGGTCAAGAAAATGTTGATGAACCCGGGCCCAGCTACCTCAATTTTTTCAATCAAGTCAGGATTTTCAGGGAAGTTTTTCAAGATTTCCATTCCGACTTCTCGTGGACTAGACTTTAAAATCTATCAAAATGAATATTCAATGTTAAGAGTTAAGTGCATATAAAATGCAAGTACGCACACAAAAATAAAAATTGTAGTTTTAACGAAGCCTGAAGTCAAATCTCACCCCAGCCAATCGTGGAGCAACGTTGCATTGATAATCTCCGAATTTTACGTTGGTAGCTTGTGTCACTTGAACAGGAACTGGAGGAGCTTCAGGATAAGCCTTATTAACAGCAAAAGTACAGTATAAGCGCAAAATTTGCACAATGTCACGCATATGGGTGACAATCTTCTTGTCCTCGTCTTCGAAAGCCTGTGAAACAACATCAAATTTATTGCGATTAAAGCTTTGATGCAATTATGAATATACACTGGTCACGTTATAGTTCATTATCAAAATTTAATTGTTGAGTAGGTATTACTCGTTTGAGCATTTTCACGCGATATTTGAGCTTATCATTTTCCTTCTGAAGTTTATCAACCTCCGCTTGCACCAATTGGTTCACAGATTGCGAAATTTTTTCAGCTTCTTGTTCCTAAAAAGAAAAGTCAAGAATCTGATTATATAAATTGAGTTCGTTTATAATACTAAATAATTGTCAACAAAACTTACTGCTTCATTGGTTCGTTTTTCAATGGATTCCATATTGAAAGAAGTTGCAGCTTTGACCATGTTTTGTTTGACCAACCGTGAAAGAACTCCACTTTCCGCTTGCGTTTATAGATTTACTAGAAGAAACAATTAATACATGTTAACAACAGCTAGAAATATTCACATTTTTGGTGCTATGAAATTTAACGTCTTGAAATCCCGAAACGTAGTTTCATCAGATCTCTACTTTGTACAATGGATCGAGAATCGAGGGCGAAATGACTCACCAGCAGGGATTTACTTAAAACTCTTCACAATTAAATCTGAAATCAGAATTAACTGCATTCACAACTCCAGATGTTAATTTGTAATTAATATTTGGTGACAACAATCTGTAGAGCGTGGAAAAAACCGGGTGGTTTGTTGAACTTGAACTAGCTCATTTTCGTTCATGTGAGAGAAGTAATAGGGGAATGATGACACATAATTTATCTCGTCGGTGGGTCAAGACTTATTTATAGTTTTATTTTCGTTCATTTATTAATTGTCAATTTATAAAATTTTTTTCATAAGATATGGCTCGTTACAATTTCAACGTTAAACATGCACATTGACTAGAGTTAAAATGTTTATAAAATGTTAGAATAACAGCTCCTTTTTCATTGTCACCTTCATTTCCGGCTTTAAAACGATATCAGTTTTGGTCAACTTTCGTGAATGTGAGATGGCTAAATTATTTAATGGCGGAGGTGGGGGAGGAGGAGGGGATGATGGCACAGATTTTATTACTTCAGTAACATTTTTGTTAGCAATATTATTCTTGTTGTCTTTTGGGTTTTCTATTAACGTAGCCTTTTGCGTCATCATCGAAGAGAGAACTTCGGATTCGTCCATTGTCTTAATATTATCTTCAATAGTAGTTTTGTGCTGAACTGTACCAGCAGGACGGATGTGTTGACTAGAAAATGGTGTTTTACCACCATCCATCTTAAATGAACTGCATTTTCCTCCGTATACGACGACTGGTTCACACAAAGAATATCCTAACTTTTCATAGAATCCCTGTTGATCATGCGTCGTTAAATAGATTATCCGAATTCCCCTACTGACAAAAAACACAAAGCTTCAGAACATTACTTTCTCTAATTCTATAAGCGTATCTCACTCTTTGTTGTCAGTATTGAATTTCAAGTTCTTTATTGTTACCATTTAACGTAGGCTTCCATTTTATCCATAATGATACGCCCAATCCCTTTTCCGCGAAGTTCTTTCGCCACTACCACTAAAGTCATTAATACAATACGATTGCATTTATTTCGCATATTATGTTTAATTTAAATTAGCATTTTATTTCCTAAAATATTTTCATTATTACCAGACTCTACAAAACAAGCACTTGGGTGGTACACTGAAACTGGGGAGACTTTGCAATGCGCCACAACTCGTTTAGGGTCGTCATTACTATGCGTATTAATCAACAACAATGTGGTTGGGAAACCTTCTGACGACCCTTGTTGTATACTGACCAGCCTAATAATCAGCATATAAAAATAATATATGAAATAGTGCAATCCTGAAAAAATCCTTTAATTCTAAAGATTATTTAATATTTTTCGTTCATGTGTCATGAGGAAGTAAGTACCTGGCCGTCTTGGATCGTGGCCATTGTGTGTTTAGAAGGTCAATACATTCATCAATCAACTCTGGATGTTTTTGAGCACAAATTAAGTCGAAACTTTGCTCCATCGTCGTCAGTCGTCATCACTTACGTGAATTAAATAATTAATTGAATTAGCGAAATTCGCTAATTCAACGGCAAAAAATTTTGTATGTATTTCAGCGACTCGAGCACATACATCTCCGTTATGTCACGACGATCAAGTTAATATACTCAATTTGAGTATTTAGAACCAAGCAAAATTTGCAAATTTGCTAAATTAATAGCATGTTCCCGCTTATGAGGATGGACCAATAATATCCTCTGTTGTGCGAGGCAACTCCGCCTTCCTTCTCCAGAAAATAGAGAAAGAAAGAACCACAACGAAAGACACATGATGAGAAAACGAATACAATACAATAAAAAATAAATAATAGTAAAAAATAGTTGGTCATCATGTGTGGGATGCATATTCATTTCCTGTATACTATCTTTAAACGAACCACAAATATTGTGCATAAGCAAATATAAAACATTTACATCATCCTATCGCCTGTTGAAGCTTGTTGGTTTGTGCTTATTCATTATTTAAATTTAAAGTGATTTCGTTAATGCGTTGAATATCAACTACCATAATTTGTGCACAACAAACATGTAAATTAACGATACAATTGAATAACTTGCTGCGTTCCTACAAGGCTGATTATTTCTGCGGACATAACAAAACACAGAGTCACTGGAGTGGAGAGATGAAATTGAAATATTAAATTCAGTATTTCTTCATTCTTGGGAGGCCGTTCAGTACTAATTTTCGGCAACGCTAAGAACGCTTCACTCAATCACATTGCTGGATCAACTTGTTGGACAAGCAACTTGAAAACTTGTCGTATTCTATTTCATAAAAATCTCTAGCAATATCCTTCTCTATAAATACTACACACTAACAGTGATAATGGGTTCTGTTTGGAAAAGACTCCAACGGGTAAACAAACGAGCTGCAAAATTCAGTCTTGTCATTTCATTTGAAGAACTTATTGTCGAGGCCACTCCAAAATGGTACGATTACTTTTGATTTTGCTAATTTGCCGATTCGAAAATTTGTTGTGAGATGTTAAATATCTAAATGTAAAATACGTTGGGTATATATTCGATATTATTGTGTGAATTTCAGGCAACCAAAAAAGCTGGGACTAACTCTTTGGCGACGAAACAGACGAGTTGGTGTGGATCCAAAAATGTGGGAACCGACAATGAAAAATCCCATGAAAGGGATGATTGTTTGGCCAATTCCCGAAAGCAAGGAGATCATGGTGACTATTTTCAAAGACCCACGAACGGGAGAGTACGAGGACAAGGATTGGAATATTTCCTTGGAAGATGTATGTCGTATTATTAATTAATATAGATGCTTTGAGCCAAAATACTTTCGAACTTGTGTATCAGAAGTCAGGATCAGTGAGATATATTTGTTGCCCTTAAAATTTAGGTTTCAACTGGAAAGCCACGACCTATAGCCAATGGGACGATTAATATCAAAGCATACGCTTTTGATGTTCCAACTCAAACAAATTCGGAACTTAAACTCAAACCTGTGTCAAAAAAGATTGTCTCTGCGTCCCTGAAATTTAATGTGTCATCTTGTTTCATCCGAGAAGGAAAGGCAACGTAAGTAAAAATATATATTACGCATGAATAGTAGTCATCAAGCAAGTAATGCTTATGTATTAATTCTTATCATAGTGATGAAGATATGCAGAGTTTGGCTAGTTTAATGAGCTCTGCCCCAAGCGATATTGCCCCGTTGGATGACTTGGATGGAGATGATGAAGGTATATATGCAAGAGATTTGAAGAGTCGATATTCCTCGTTACATTATACTTTATGGTGTGTCAAACTCATTTAAATTTTGAATTATCAAAAATAGGAGATAAATCGCTCAATGTACCACAAATGGATAGAAGAAAACTTAGCGAAGTTTCCGACATTGCTAGTCAGATTGACAGCCTAATTAATAATTTGAATACTTCTAACAATGAAGTTATAAAACCATCCAGTCCGTGTAAGTTAGTTAAACTTCCGTACTCACTAACCACGTTTAATTTTGCCTTGCAGCAATCCAAATTATATTTCATCCTTGTTTATAATATATAGCAAAATCAGACAACAGCATTGATAATTCGGTCGTTGAAGATCTCCCTGATGAATCTGTTCATAGTCGTACTAGTCCTATGAAAATCGGGCCCGTAGTAGTTGAAAATGACGATGATAATCAATCTAAACGAGATGATACAGATTCGACCGAAATATTGTCTAGTTTTGAGAAAAGTCACGAGCCACCAGACTCGGTTGACAACCCCAACGCACGATACTTGCGAAACTTGAACCTATCAAAAATTTCTGAAAGGACTGAGATAAACGATACGTTTTACAAATCAGATATGGAAAAATCAGCAAGTATTGCTTCAAATTCAATTAACACCAGTTCAAAAGCAGATGGTCTTCTTGGTGCAACTTATTTTACTGACAAGGAAATCTCACTAAAAAAGAATAAGGAAGAGCTTCCGTATAAAAGGTCAGTGTTGGCTGTCTTGTTCGGATGTTTTTTCCCGATTTACCGATTTGCTTAACTTGTGATGTATGAAATTTTATGCTATGTACTAATCTTAAGTAGAAAGGGTTTGTGATAGGGTGAGCTTATTCTGATGTTATTGCCATCCACGAAATATTAAAATGGCTTAAGATGACTTGAAGAAACAAAAATTAGATTTTGTTTTGGTAATATTACACAAATATTTGTTAGTTATATCTCAATTTTATTTTGTAGTTTTAGTTTTTTGTTATAGTCTATAAAGCTTGTATATTGTTGGCTTGATTATATTTAAGCTTTGAAATTGAATAGCTTTTATTATTTTATTGATGAGCGATACCAATGGTATCATACCATGCACTTTCACCATTTATGTAAGAAAATGCTAACTTGTGATGATGTCATATCTCTACTATATCATTTTGGAAATTGCATTCATTTCTGTTTGTTTCGTTATTAGTATTGGTTTTTATGCTGTAAAAATTACAAAAAGATCAAAATATTGTCTGATCCTTCTTTCTTTTTACTTTTTACTTTTACTAATACTACAACTCTTTGTTATTTTTATCAATTTTTATCGACTTGAATTTATTGTTATGCTAGTAGAGTAATAAATTAATATATTAATTAATACACACTCGCACAAGCTTTCTATTAGTTAATTTTTGTGTAAAGTTTTTTGTAGAGCTTACTCTGCTTTTTGGTAGTGCTTGCATTTAAAATCAAAATCATTTAAATATTTTTGACTGATTTGCTTATTAGGGATAATTATTTTTGCAGTCAAAAGCTACTAGTATAGTACTTTGTTATATATATGTACCCTTGGTTGGCCTACCGTTGCATAAGTGGACAATTCCAACAGATTGAACTTTTCCATTTTCACATGATTAGATCTTATTTGGAAAACGAGTCACATCCTTCTTTCTCTCTTTCTCTCCATCTGGACCAAACAAAGTAAAGAATTCATGACGTCTAAATCTGCTACTTTGTAAGTAGGCAGGCTAGGATAGTTTTTCCTAAATTAAGACTATATATACGTAGATAGAGTTGCCATCCATTATTATACAACAAAATTCAGGGCATCACGTTCCATCTCGTTGTTCGAGGTCAGCAGATGGGTCACGCTCATTGGAATTAAATGTCATGTAAAGAATGCTCAACTTTACTTTGCTCTCTGTCTGTCTGCCAGCAAAAATCTTGCGCGTATTGGAACCCCGGCGTTGCTGCTGCTCGTTTACTTTCTCCGGTGCTCTCCTTTCTCCTCCTGCCCGCTTTCCCTTTCTTTATCTGGCAAAGACACACTTCGCACCTAATCCTGCCTTGCTATGGAACTCTACATTTTCTTTTACTGAATCGTGAAGTTTCACAACATTCTGCAACGTGTCGATCTATCTCGTCTTGATCTATATAAATGTACAATTACTGAAATTCGCTTACATCAAGTGCTTTCACTACACTGACATGTGGTGCATTACATTTTTTACACTTGGGAAACAGGTATGTACGATTTCATTTTCTTCCAACCGAGAAATGTCACCAGATATATCAAGAATTATTATTATTGATTTTTGTAAACTACTGTTGACTGGGTTTTGTATATGCAGAATAATTTTCATTTGGTAATGGTAGGGGCTTCAGCTGACGATGAGATCAATATGCTTAAAGTATAACGGATAGTTTTACTACATGTTTATGTACGTTTAACGTTCCTGCCAATTGCTGCTGGGTTAATGTTTTGTTTAAGAGTCCTTTCTGGACATGTCATTCGTACACCCATGTTACTGAGACAATGGAATTCATTAGGCTATAAAATGTTCATTGCTGAATTTCTCGTGTTGCAGCAACAGTCCTTCCCGAGAAGAGAATAAAGTCGGAACCGAAGTCCATAGTCCTGAACATCGTGGGGATCGAAGCATACTGAAACCGCTCGACCTCCACGATAATGTAAGTACAACTTAATTATTTTTCACTTAATAAATAACACGTCGACGAAGTGACAATAAGAATTCTAGTCCAACGAACAAGTTTTAAATTAGAGTTAGACACAGACACATATCAAGGGGGGGGGAGGTAAATTCTAACCATGTAACATAAACAAGGACGAATTTTCATGTATGGAAATTACTCTATTTCCCGTATCACTCCACGCATTGCTCCCTTCAATCCTCTCTTTTTCGAAGTACATCGAAGTTCTACAAAAAAAGCGTGAGCAGACAGCAGTGCACTCACCGGAGTGAAAGCAGCAACTGTATTAAAGATTCGTCTCATTAATAAATCACAACCCATGGAAAAGCACATATCGATCTTTGCAAGCCATCGTACTTCATGTAGATTAACAGGTTGGATACGTGTACTCTGTGTCTATTTTTACTACTTAAAAATGTAGTTGTGGTAAATTCGGTTATTGTAGAGTCTCACCTTCGATTCGCTCACTAACTACCTCGAATTTTAGATGCAATTCACATGCTAAAGATTTTTAAAATTAATCAGCAGTAATAATTTTTTAAGCTTGTAATTCTATGGCCAGCGTGTAATACAAATGTAAAAGGTATGCTTCGAGAGATAGAAAAGTTTTATGGACACATAAGCCAAGAGGAAAACATAATTTGTGCTACTGAAAATCGGGCTGGAATCCTCGGCATCAGTTGGGTATGTACTCATTTAAATGCGACATGTGTGTATGTACATACGTGATCTCGAATGCGAAGTTGCGTAACTTTTATTCGCTCGTATCATCCATAAGTTTTGGTCTCTCGCCTTTCTCCTAGCATCTTCAAACTTTTGCAATAAAAGTGTAATCATATTTTGCTATACTTAAGGTCGAACCTAATGGAAAAATTGATCACTTTTCCGTATTGTTTGTAAATTACTTTTCTTAAAGAGTTCTATTTACCTTCCTTTGCTCCCATCAATGGGTTCGAGATTTTGATGAAATTGAACCATTCTAATTTCCAATGTTGGAACTTGGAGGTTTATTTGAATGACATTCCTGGGGAGTCGTCAGTGTAGTTTACCAGGATCTTTTTTATGAGCTTTACATGACTGCATGTAGAGACTATCTAGTTGAGAGAAGAGGAAAGCACCGGTGAAAGTGGAAAGAAGAGTCAAAGAAAGGCTAGGTAGGTCTAGGAGGGGGAGAACGAGTGACTCGATCTTGCAGGGAAAGAAAGGTTCATACATATGTGTAAAAGGCTAGGCTATAACACTATGCCATTGAAGACAAAGAAAGCACGACTGGAATTCTTAGATCGACTTGTTTCCTAACAGATAATTTGTAAGTCATCATTGTCAATGCGGTTAAAAAAATACGTATGTGACAACGGTTAGGCCTCTGTAAATACATTGAGGAACAAGAATGGTTTAGTTTTTGGACTTTTTAAATAGACTGACACGCTTGTATCTAATTGCAAATGTACATATATGTGCATCGTCTTGTTAAAAAAAACACTTGTGCCCATTTCATGTGTGTCCCTCCCCGATGATTAGCAAAACTTTTAAAAGTACAAGGAACAAGGAGCTGAAGACAGCATATGTACAGCCATGTATGCCTTCCGAGTAGCAAGATCTAATTGGTATCGCCTCCTCGTCGCCACTCACCTGAGAGAGAGTGGAGTCACGAAATGGTGTGTTTTGAACCGACTGGGCTATTTATTTTGTTACTTCACTTTCTTTCGATCGTTACGTTTAAGAGAAAAGTTTAGATGAGCGCGAGGGAGACGACGACGACGTGTGTACATGGGTTGTAAAATGTCATCAGAGAGTGGTAACCTCACGTTCTTGAGAAAGATTAGATAGAAAGAGGAAATTGCTCGGTGGGGTTAGAGGATCGTCTCTACAAACAGTAATATCATGTTTTTCTCCACTTGCTATTAAACGGACCATTTACCCATGTTTCCTACCTTATCGTTAATTTTTATCAACTCGATAAGTTACACTTTTAATGAGAAACTTGGGACTGGACGTCTTTGAAGTAGCTATATTTATCTATATATATATATCCCTACATGGATGCAATATTATGTACCAAACAGTGGTAGCGCAAAGGAGTGACATCATTATTTGTTGCACCAACACCACCATGAAACACGAGTCCCAAACGGTTTGAAATGAAAAAAGAAACTTCTCAATCCCACTTTCACTTTCATCACTCCCTCACTCTGACAAATAGTTACCAGAATTGCCAATACACATGTATGAAATTTATTCGTCTTGTTCGTATTTACACATGTCAAAGAATTTAGACCAAAGAATTGTCTTTCTTACACTTTCTTTTAATCGATTCTCATTTGTGATTTGTGTAATAAAATCAAATGTTGCAACTTTTATGTACCTCAACCAGTCATCAGCAAGTTGAATACAAACTTAAACACATTGGACAAAAACATTCTGTACAAGAGTTGACCAACTCTTCTCTGTTATGTTTCTAAAGGTTAATTTGTATACATATTTCCAAATTTCAGGTGACAATGGTTGGGTTATCAAACGTAACATTGAGCCAAGATCTCCTCTCATGGTGCAAAGGTAATCCGTGTTTAATTTTTTAAACATTTGTCTCACAGTATTTCATCGAATGCAAGCAATAAGCATTGATTAATTAAATGTCCCCCTGTAATGTGCAATTACACCTATCTTTTTAATTGCATGATGCATCTGTAGATGTTACGAAGGGCTACCGCGGAGTCAAAGTTACCAACATGACAACATCGTGGAGGTATGTGACGACTTGATATTGTCCCCCGATCAATAAATAAACTTGATTTTACTTAAACTTAATTTAGAAATGGGATGGCTTTTTGCGCCTTGATTCACCATTTTCACCCCGAATTAATGTAAGTACATTGCGACGTTGATCTGATTAGTATATCGTCAATTTAGACTTTGATAAGTCAATGATAGTTTGCATGACATGGAGCGAGCATGGAAGGAATGAGAATCACGAGAAGCGTAAAATGGGTATTGTGAAAGCGAATAGGGCGAAAGACCCGTATATGTATAGTACCAGAATGTGAGAATAGCTTTATGTGAACTCATTTTAAAAATGTTCTCGTGGAGGGATCCAACCTTGGTGAGGTCTAGTTGTAAACCTGAAAAAATCGACTGTGTGGCAGTAAAAGTATGGTCGAGAAGAAGAGAGGTGGGTGAATTACTCTCCAGACGAGAATACGTAACGAATGATCACGTCTCAAACCTTGCCTTCGAAGAGTTCTGGTAGGAACGTGGATGAAAATGCCGAACAGTAGAAATGCGAAAACGTGTCAGAATAATACGAAATACACACGAGATCCGATGTGATAATATTTTTAATTTATTTTTCTTTGCTCTCATGTACAGAGACTTCACTACTTTGTCCCCTCACGATATCAAAGGTACTCCATCCTCTTTATTAAAATTGTGCATTTTTCTAAAAATATTTTAACTATTTTAAGATTTGCTAATTTCCTTCATTGTTGCAGGAAATTGTAAGACAGCCTTCGATACAGCAGAGTCCCTGGGTATACCTCGTGTGATAGAACCTTCAGATATGATGCTATTAGCTGTTCCGGATAAGCTGGCCGTTATGACGTATTTATATCAACTACGCTCCCATTTCACAGGTACTTACCACACACTTACATTGGCATGAATTTTGCTTTATATTAATAGTTTGGATTGTTGTTTCTGGTTCTATCGATTGTAATTTTATTTTATTATTAGGTTGTCAATTGGAGGTTCAAAACATTGGTGCCACATCGTCCGAATCGTCATATATTGTTGGTCGTCCAGAGAATAAAGCTGACAGCGCAATGACGAAAAAAATTTTTCAACAAGAAATAATCAACATGAAGAATGAAAGCAGTAACCGAAGTTCTAGCTCCAGCAGAGAAAGTAGTGTTGGACTTGAAATGTCACACCAACCCAATAATAATAACGCCAAGCAGCGACACTCACCCAAAAAAGTATCGTCCATTAGCAATAGCTCTTCGTCATCTTCAGTTAACTCTTTGCAAAGAGTGTCCACTGAAACTCATCAGAATCAAAATAGCAATACAGGTTCTCCAACATCTCTCCAGAATTTTTTAAATAAATTTAACAATAAGGATAAATCTCCATCTCCTAACTCAAACATTGAATCAAAATCGTTTTTGGGCAAGCTAAGTGAAATTAAGACCTCTTTTGTCAATCACAATAATAAGGTGGGTTATTTTTTCATGCATGTATATATTAATTTGTTTTCAAAAAACAATATAATAATTATATTGTTTATTATACAATTATTGTATGTCTCATTTTCAGAATATAGAGGCTTCTTCACGTTCCCTACCAACTAAGCAATCCTCGACACAGCAACAACAACTTATGACCAGGCGCCAATATACCGACCCCCTTGGTTCTGACGAGGACGACGATGAAAATATTAACGAGATACAACGAAGAAACAGTGCTCCTCCGACTCCAGTTCATACGGTATTAATCCGTCTATTTTCTTCTAATCCATTCATGAAAATAAATAGCAATTACCTAACACAAATATTTTTGGTAACAGGCAAAGTTGTCTAGTCATTCAGTTGGCATACCTGATCCAGATGCTCCTGGACTTTTAGATTTGTCCCCTACGAAACGTGATGAAACAACTCAACAAGTAAGTAGCGTAATTTGTGAATATGGATCATTTAATGGTAAATGAAATCGTATTTTAATTATGTTAATAAAAACATAGCGACTCCTTGCGCGACACCAAGAACTTCGCGAAAAAGCACGGGTCATGTTGGAACAAGCGAAGAGGGAAGGATCGTTACGGAATTCCCCCCCTTCAAAACCTAGTACTCCGGTGGCGTCGATGGTAAGCGGAAGCAGCTTGTATAATCTCCAAACTCGCGCTGCCAGTGAGCCTGCAAATTCATCTGCAAACGTAATTGTTTCAAATGTAAAGCTTGCTAAGGTTTAGTAATTATACTTGCATGTTGTAGATCGTTAAATTTTAATTACATACAGATGAGTATTTAGTAGTATCGCTCTTCCCCTTTCTGCAGCATGTGTGCCTTTGCATTACAATGTTGGCTTTTTTGTAGCTTCTACATATTGGATGCATTGGTAATTATAATAAAATAATATACCATTATCGATACAGGATGAAACTGAGCGTCAGCAACAACTCCGTGAAAGAGCAAGAAGGTTGATTGCCGAAGCTAGACAAGGGGTAATTTCTCCCAATGGAGACAATTTCTCCAGGTCAAGTACTCAATCAGGGACACCGGTGTCATCAACTCCAAGTTCCAGTCCCATCAAGTCAAAGGCGAATTTCTCTCATGCCGATATGTGTGATAATAAGGTCCGACTGTACTTTGTATTAAAATCGGTGTGATTGTTTTAGCGGTTCTTTCGTAAAGTACTAATTGTTTGATAATGATGTAGGAATTTAATGGGAACTCATTGTTGACGACTACGAACGATTCCAATAAAAATATGCCAATGTCCGTTTCGGTCCATACTAGTGTAAACCCTCCCAAGTTAAAGTCATTTCACACGTTGTTGGAAAAAATATCGCCAGACAGAGAGGTCAATCCAAACAAGGTACGGAATTCAACGCTTATTTTTATTTGTTTATCTCGCGTGACATGTATACAAAATATTAATATTATCGTAATTTCTCTCCACTGTAGGGACTTCGACGAACCAAATCCTATATCGAAAATGAATTGGATGCACTTGAGAAGGAGCAAATTCAAATTGATGAAGAAGCCCGTAAGTAAAAGTGTTACACTAGTTTTTTTTATACCCCAAGCAACCAAAATCTGCAACTATTGTACTAAATTTGTACAACTGGATTAATGCATATTTTCCGTGAAAATGTGAAGCCGACTTGTGATTATTTTGTACAAGTCGCATGTACAAAATTCATACCAATAATTTGTCACTACAAGTTTACTTGTACCAAATATGCACAAAATTAACACAAACAAATATGTGAGAATTTTGTGTAAATTTGGTGATGATTAAGGGCCTGGGGGAAGTTGCTTAGAAATCACGTCAACTTTGACGATAAAATTCAGCAATGCACAAGAGGGCAGATTTTTTAAATTATGTTTAATGCGTTAATCATATCTTTAGATTTTACTTGAGTTTTTTTTGACGATCTGCCCTCTTGTGCAGTGGAGATATTTGGTCGTAAAGTGAGGACAAATTGGCTTAGAATTGCCAAATTAATGGCAGGAATTGCATTTTGAGTATCCATGGAACAAAAGAAACAACTTTTTTCAAAAACTTGAGGGACTTGAGGGAAACTTTTTCAAAAGCAGTGACAAAACCAAAGCTTTTGAACGTGAGTGTCCCATAGAAACGGTGTCAATTAATTGTGGTCGTAACCTAACAGAGCGATAATAATCTTGGGGCCCTGGCAATTATTGTTGCTAACATAAAATCAAGTAAATCTTCCCCCGGGCCCTTAATATGCATTAATGAAGTGAGAATTTGGTGCGAATCTAGTGCGAATTTAGTGCGAATCTATTGCTAATTGTGTGCTAATGGTACGCATGAAATTAATACAAATTCATTTATACGTATTACTCATAGTTCAATTATTATTTATTTATTACAAATTCATCTACTGTATTTCTACAATAATGTTATCTCCAAATACTTAACTTATTAAAAGATAATTGCAAATTGGGATACACAAATATTTATCGTAATTAATCTGCAGAATTCGTACTTACGGAGTATAGAGAAAGACTAAATTAAAATGAATTCCTGGACAATATTTCCTTATTCACCTCAGGCTCTTCTGCTGATAATTTAGGCTGGCCGTTTGTCGACATGAGTCGATAGGTTTATTCCTTATACATATGTGTTCTCAACGTATGAATCTATAAATTATGCAAATCGTATATTTTATTTACATAAATAACCCGAATATATATTAATGCAAAAGTAGCTAACAACAATATGTATGTATATATGTAATTACCGTATTTTCCGGCATATAACACGCCATTAGTCGTCCAATCTTTTGAAATCCACGTAGACGGCACAATCTTGGCCCTTTGTCGACTTCAAACTTGATGAATACGAACTTTTGTCCGACATAAGATCGACCCTAAGTATCTATCTAAATAAATTTTTTCGTTGGAAATTAAAAATGGAGAAGAAATGATGGAGTTGATGTCACGGCATGGCAAAAAGAATAACTGACTTGAGGTGGGTTTATTTAATCGCCAATAGAGAAATGTTACTAATTTAGTAGTAAATGATTACAGAATAATCGGTACGAATTTCGTGTAAATATACTGGCACCTGTTTACTGCATTTTGATTTTGTACAATTTCCCACGTACGAATTATGCATGAATTTGGTGCAAGAAATCTCATGAAAATTTAGTGCTAACAAATACGCACTAAATATTCACTTGTTCCTTTGTAATAATTTGCTACTTATTAAGTTGTGATAGTTTAGTGGATTTCTTGTGCTAATTTATTAGTAGCACAAAAATTGATACACATTTTGCACGAATCTTGTACAAATTAATGATTACAACTTTTTATGCACAAAAATTGCATAAACTTGCATTGGAATTCGCAGTAAATTCGCATTGAGGTTGCTTGGGACATCTGAATTATTGTACACAGTGTAATTATGTAGTATAATATAGGTTAATTCTAATTGGCTAGCTGTATATTGTGTATGCATAAAGTTTTGTGAATATTAGTAAAAATGATTATGTATACTTCTAATTTATCAGGTGAGCTGGAAAGAGTTCTCAGAAGTGCTATGAGAGACGGTAATAGCATATGCAGTACTTTTATAGTGGGGTTAAAATATGTACACCATAATAGTGGTTTCTCTAATGAATTTTTCAGGCGATAATCCAGACGAGGATGCCCTCATGTCTCAATGGTTTGCACTGGTGAGTAAAAATGAAAAAGTATGTGAAATATGAATAAATTACAAATTTCAATTTATCTCATTGCAGGTGAACAAGAAAAACGCATTGATACGACGCCAAATGCAGTTAAATATTTTGTAAGTTTACTCTGACAACTTTCTTGGGGTCTGTACCTACATATATGCATTTATGTAGTACATGTACATAATTCGATTTTTTCTGAAATTCTGGTAATTCATTTTACAGAGAAAAAGAAGAAGATTTGGAAGTGAAATATGACCAGTTGAATGACGAGTTGAGGAGAATACTTGCTAAGGATGGTGAGTCTGATAATTTTTTTACAAATATTGGCTTTGGTAAAAATAATTAAAGAGGATTTAAGAAAGATGCAACTGAATTGAACAAAATGCCAAAATTCATTAGATAAGATAATATAAAACAACATTAGATAATGACAAGAAATTGATTGATTTGGCCGATTTGCCTCTTCAATTTCAACCTATATATCCCTACCCTATTTGAACCTATATATACCGTTCCATATATAGTTGTCGCGCATACGTATTTATTTTAGGAGCAACTTATGTTTTAAGGTGACATAATTTATTGTGGTGGCGTCGCGTCTGTAATAAATGGAGTGTGTGACAACAGGGTCAACGATTAATTCTCCAATATCTCGTCATGCCAGGCCATACTTTTCGTGGTGCGAATCAGGCAATCGTTGAACTCGGTTCCTCTATTTCTTGGCGAACAATGAAATCTGATGGTGGAAAGAAACATTACTCAGCAGTACATGATGACTTTAATCCGCTTATAAACTCTCTCGACAAAGTTTTGGTCGTGCTTGGTCTAGTTGCCATCGTCCATAATGCTGTAGTGTCTTCTTTTCCTTCATTCCTCTCACTCTTCCATGCGTCTCAATGTATATGTGCATGTTCAGATTGTACAGTGTGGAATGATCGTATATATTTATAACGGAATGGAAATAACAACCACGGCATAAGTTGATGTTGATGACTCTTTCTTTCCTTGCTGTCTCATTTATACTACGTCAAGAAGCGAAATGGTGGGTTGAAAATCGCTCGCTTACCTCAACAAATGCTCAAAGCAGTATTACAATAGTTACCTCGGAAAACAAGGAAGATGCGTACAAGCTAAAGCTTTGAGGTAATAAGAAGGAGGCAAAAGATGAAACCGAAGGAACTTGAGCTTAGATATTTTCCTCAGTTTAGTTAATCTCACATTATTGGAACATGGAAATCCAATCTGTGTATTAAAGTAAGGTACATGATGACGGGATAAGTGGAAGAGTGAAAAGATATGCAGAGCAGAAGACGTCTCAGAGAACGGTGGATGGATTCTTGTTTGTTTCATTGTGAGTGAAAGAAAGAGAGAAAGGGTGAATTAAGGATCAACGCAGCAATGGAATGGAAAGGATTACAATTTACCCATTTCTGAGTGGGTTAACAACTTTAAAATTTATAAAAAATAGTATATGGTTAATAGTCTTGCTTACATATATAACAACAATTAGGAGAATTGCAGTTTTCTATTGTTTGACGTTATAATTTTATGTTTTAGCACATTTAACTAATTTATAAATTGTTCTCACATTTGTTAATGATTCACATTATGTTAAACAGTGTTGCTAAAATCAATATTTTACTCTGCTTATTAATTTAGCTGTGTGGTTTGGTTTGTATGTAGTAGGAAGATTATTGGGGGGCATGTACTTTGGTTAGCAGGAAGTTTTCAATTTGCTGCCACTTAGCATTACAAAAGAAAAGTAGTGTATTGCAGATTGTGTGGGAGATGCATTTCGAAGGATTTTGTATATCCGTATGTATGGCGAAGGACTGCAGACCCGAAGATAATGTTTTTCTGCAAGAGTGCCGTGGAATTTGGACGTGGACACCGCAAGCATGGACAACCCCACTAATCCGATGTTTCTGAAGCCCTCTTTTTCTCCTCCAGCGTGGTCTCCCATCTCTACATTATGCGCTCCCATTGTTATCTTCTTGTTAAAAGTCAAGAACAAAGGAGGAGAGAAATGGGCAAAGAAGGATTTGTCGTCTCATTTGTCAATTCAATCTTTGGTCGCAAATACATGGAAAATGACTTATTTTCTCCATCATGGAGTAAGCAGAAGCAGTGATCTAGATCCCATCTTGTAAATTCAGAGATTCTGATTTCGAAGGAATGTGTTTCGTGCAGACGATCTCCTTTGTTTTTTTATCACGTGCAGCTGCTTCACGCAATATTGAGAGGTGATTCATATCGGTTGCATTACTTGTGTACTAAGCTAGTATCTAAATAGACCACTGCTACTGCCAGGTCGAGCATATATTCATAAAGTTTGTTCTTCTTTGGATGATGCAAAATCAATAGATTGTCTCGGCTGTGCGAGGACGCATGTTTGAGATTCGTCTACATGCACTCTTCATGTGATTTAGATTCATGAAAAGAAAGTTTTAAATCCTCAACGATGGAGGGGAGCTCGGCTTCTTTTGTGCCTTCTCCTTATATGGGATAAGTACATACGTACATGTTCATGTCCAGGAAGTTGTTGCTAATCTGCCTATATTTTGGGGAAGTATAGGCAGACATAGTTCAAATTGTTTCCCCAATGTAACATTGAGGAACAACTAGACTCCGCTTATATTTTTTATGAAGAAAGTCAAAGTCAAGTTGAGTATTGGCTGTGAGATGGCCGGGTGAGATGGGGTGCGCTTGCTTTCACTTCCTCCTGCCCCCTCCCTCTCGCTTTAGTCTGATTGCCAATCACAGACCGTAAGCCGCTTATGGACTACTCGGGTCTCTTATTTTAGATGCCCCTTCTCTCCTCTCAAGCAACCCTCCCAGGTCCGGATACTGCTACACAATTTCGACTACATGTGAGAGCTACGAAGACTAATTCCACTCCACTTGAGAAGAAAGGAGTTGCTATGCACTTGAATTCTCGGCCCTCCTCTCCTCCTGCCCCTGCACTTGAAATATTCATCTATTCCAAAGTCCACTTTCCAAAACTTAGTAGCTCTCTTCACCTCGCATGTCTTATCAAAGATGCAGTTATACAACTATTGCAAACACATGTAACTAAATATATTACATAGCTAGATTATATAATCAAAAATATGTTTCCTAAAATTACAATTTACTATAACGTATGTATATTTGGTGGGACAAATGTACGTACTCGTACGGATTGGCAAAATATGGACTATTTGGAATATCAGTGTTGCCATTTATTCAATCTCTAAAATGAGCAAATTGTGACTGCGGGTGCATGAATGACAAAAGTCGCTTTCTTAAGCCCTTGTTTGATGAATGGATGGTCTGTTCAGATTACGTTGTTCTGCTTCTATGCAAGTTAGTGAGTCGTTATGCGGATGCACTTTTGCCCTGCTGATCTGGAAGGATCATCGTTTTCTTTCTTTCTTTGGGATGCATTAAGCGCAGGAATTACGGAGCACGGATTACTACTTAATAAAAATAGCTTGTGAAAGATTACTATTTCTTATGCTCATGTACATACCTCTGATGGCATAATAGCAAGTGATAAATCCGGTCGTCGTCGTCGTCATCATCATGTGTTACGCAGGCAGTGAGACTGTGACTTAACTATGCAATGATCCCTTCCAATGGAAGAATCCTTACTGCGGTGCGCTAAATCGGCTCTATGGTTTGTCTTATTAAAATGTATCTTACGCCCAAGCTTGTGTCTAGCCTTTTACATCCTTCCTAATGCTCTTTGCTCGAAATAAGCTGCTCATAGTCTTCGACTTTGCACTAACTATATATAGCTTTCTTCCTTTAAATTGTCAGTGCAAGTTCTGCCAGCCATCGTCATCGTCATATTCTTGCAGACTGGTGCCCTTCCATTATTTCCTTGACTTTTGTAATCTCAACTCCTCTCGAGAATCGCTCCCGAAAATAAAATAAAGAAAATGTCGACTATCACTGCTCTTTTCTGTCGTGTGAATAATTGTATTATTGCAGCGATCTTCCTGGGAATATAGTGAAAGGTTTGGTTAAGTGACTCGTGCGTCCGTGCAGCAGAAGTGGGAGACTACTTATGTACATTCATTTCGAGTGCTGTATAGTATCGTGTTCACGTGTCTGGTAAATAATTGGGGTGAAAAGTGGTGGTAGCTGGTGGCATCCCAACATGGTGAAAGTTGGGTGACATCAACCCATGTATTGAAGGGTCATTTTGAAGAGGGCCAGAGAACTAAAGAAAATTGTGTTGTATAAAACAACTATGCAAAGGTTAAGAATAGTAAATTTAAGGAACCCCATCAAGTGAATTACTAACATTTTTAGTAAAATTATGTACTAAATTGTATTGATTTGCTGTATTACAGAGAGCCAAAAAACGGATGCAGATCGTGTAAGGGAATCTTTACTATTACAAGAACTAGTGAACGTTGTAAACCAAAGAGATGAACTTGTGGATCGGTTGGATGACCAAGAAAAAGCGTAAGATTCCTTATTTGCTCAGCTTGCTTAGATTGATCCTGCATTTTCCTGTGAGCTATTACTGTAGCCAAAGATAATAGAGTTGGTTCTTCAAAAGTGTAATTTTGCTCCGAGCCTCCTTGCCTTGAAAGATTTTTCCAACATATCTGTTATTGGTCGGGTTTTTAAGGGTTCAATCGAGCATGTCTAGCTTACTGTCAGGTGTAATTGCATAATTGGATCGGACACTGGTTTTGCCTCTGATAGACATTACACACGCACAAAAGAAAATAATTTTATTATTCAGACAATCTTATGTGAACTGAAATGTTAACATTTCGTTGCATCGTTTGATTTGGCTTTCGTGAACAATGAATCATAATAAAGGGCTATTCGATTGAACAATTGCCCAGCTGTGTATACAGACCGATAGGCAATATTTTAGTTTATGCACCCCCTTTAAGGGTTATTTTTGACAGTCTTGCTTGTTCGGACCTGCACCCTTTCCTTCATCCTTTGTATCCTGCTCTGACACCGTGAAATACCAATTTCCCATGGAGGATTTACCAGTTTCATCTTGATTTAACGGATATCAGTCTCTCGTGTTTTCTTTATTCCGGGTTTCTTGATCCACAATTCTTTATAGTTATATGAGCCTTGGTAAATACATACATATATACATCCACGATGCCCACAATAGAACATGCCTTGTGGCTGGTACATATTTTCCACGAGTTTTTTAACATAATGGAAAAGGAGTTGTTTAACCTCCGGAAATGAGCATGCATAGGTGCATATGATAGAGAAACTGGTGACGATGACAAAAACTATTGCATATAGTTCATTTAAGATTTGTGCTTTTTACAGGACTATACTTTTAAGCCTGTAGGTGGGTGTAACTTTTCGAGACAATCTCTTTATACTGCTGGCAAGTAGCATGGTTGCATCTGATTCTCGTGATAGTATTACACAAAATAATATGCTATTACTTTGGGCAGGGGTTGGTTTTTCTTTTAATTGTCATTGTCATTTTTTATGTCACGCAGTCGGACGTCGTCCCCGTGATGGTTGCATTAGTAAGAATTAGTTGTGAACTGTAGTAACAGAAGCACGATCAGAGTAAATACTGGATCTGTATGTAGTTAGGTATTGAACCAAGCACAATGCACGGATTTTAGCTTTTTTAGCACCAGAAAAAGAACGGCAGGTGACAAAATTTAAGCTGGGTTGAAGAAGCAAGCACAAAAAGTTAAACCTTACCTTTAAACGGATTAAATTTTCTAACCGGAAACGTGTAATATTTTGATTTATATGACACGACTACTGCATAATATTTGTTGCATATATGTATTGCTCGTTGGGTTCAGATTAGAAGGAGCAATTTGAAGAGATGGTATTTTATCTGTAAATATGGAATGTTCCCAACTTGAAACTCATGATTTCAAGCTTCGAATCTTCCACTCTTCACATTTTAACTTTGACCCGTGGCGTAGCATGGACAGATGACGACGTATGGATGCATATCACGGTTTCATGTTTTTTTTGTTAATGATGAGAAAGTTTGTCATTCGCAGGACATCCCAAACATTGGTCGGTTCTCAGATAACAGTTTTTATCTGTATTGGAGATTAACTAATCCTGTTTATATGTTATTTTTAATTTTGTCCACAATTAGCCGGATTCAACGCGTATTGCTAATCACATCGACATATCAGAGGGTTTCGGATTTCATGCAATTGTTGCAAGTTGCCTCCTCTCTCATGCACTTGTCATTGTTAGCTGAAACCCGTCAATGTAATTTTATTCATTGACGGTTGACAACTTCTTTATGAGGAACTTTTGCATTGGGGAATGATGTGTGTGTGGTTGTGTGTGTGTTACGTCATATGTACATAGTTGTTGCGTGAGAATATTAGGTTTTAGAGACCAAAAGTGAAGGACTGGGTGAATTTGAGGGCGACCAATGATTTGTTTGGCTTCCCTCGTCTCGTCGCTTCTTGATGCTCATTTGGAAATGAAATTAATTCATGTTGTTGAAAGGACGCGTGACCCACAGAGGTCAGGTTTCCTCCATTGGGTATTCGCCACGTGAACCCCAAAGTAGTTGCATTATCTGAAAGTTTTTGTTGCAAAGTAGGCAGAAGCAAAGCCCTGCTGCACTCTCTCCATTGTTCTTGAAAAAAATCGGATACTCAACTCTCGGATTTAGCCTTCATTCTCTTTTCAAAAGTGAACTCTACTCCATTATTTTCTCCATTATTTAATGCGAGACTGTTCAACAATGGAATGGGCTGAAATGGTGATACATATATATTTTCCAGCATTAATGGAACATCGATGAATGGATTGATGAAAGCACAGGTTAACGATTTTTTTTTGCCACCGAGAATATAGATATTCAGCAAAAATACATTTTTAGAAACATCCATGAATTTTTAATGGCTTTTTTAAACTGAAAATCGAGTTTACTTTGGTGTTACACTGCCGGCACATGAAAGTCGATGGGTTATTTTTGTTGATGGAATGAAGGGATTGAATGCGATGCACTCTTGTTAAAACGTCGTGAATATTTGATGGTTTACGTATCGCACCCTTAAAACTCAATTTGACACCACATTGTGGGGAAAGCTGTGCACCCTCTCGCTCTCACTGCAGAGCTTTCACGCAAGTCCCAGTCAAGTTTACACACCCATGAGCACATGTTGTTTTCATAGCAAATGGTATGGTGTCATCAACTTCTGAAAAGATTTAAACTTCATTTACTTGCACAGTAAAGCAGAAAAGTAGTGGCGGCGTAATTTTGTTTCGAATTTTCTTCCGTTCCAAATGATTGATAAATAATTTAAATGTATTTACTTATGTACGTACTTATTGTTCTTGCATATCATTGTTTTTCTGAAACGGCTATTTTCCTTTACTCCGTACGACACATTATTACGAGTTACGTTCTCGGAGATGTATGCAGTTATGCAAAAATGAATCACATTCATTTTCTTCCTCTGCCTCGCGCAAAGTTGAGATTGGATGCGTGGAGCTACAGTAGACCCCTTTAAATAAGAAAGGTTTCTTTTGTGCCTTTGTATTGATCTGCACATTGCGTTTCTCATCATTCGACAAAGCGTAGCATAAGCGGATTATCTTCGCATCTATTCATTTCATAGGACAGTGTGGTGATGGTGTAGCAGTGGCAACAGTAGTGCAACTCTATTTTCGTTCATTCCTGCTTCATTTTGTACGCCAGGCTGGTTGCAAACCCCTTCATGTGAATTGAGGAAGAAGCATTTGAATCAAAATATTGCGTTCGGTTTGTTGATCTAAAATGGAAACGAGCCAACTGAGGATGAGCTGAAATATTTGAGAACTTCACATTTTAGACCAATTCATCTCTTTTTCGATTCAGCCTCGATTTCTTTGAATTTAAATCAGAAAGTTTCTTACTCTTCCATCACCCCGCAGTAGAAGAATTCTTTGCAACTTCGCATAAGCTGCTATTGTATGAAAATTCACTGAAAATTTCGTCAATGTCGTAACGTGTCTGTGTGTATGTAGCTGTTTCATATAAGTAAGCCTAAATATGCAAACGGGAAACGAAAATTAAGAAATTGGTACAATTTTGTTCCATGCTACATATATATTTAGCGTCATATCATCGGTTTTAGTTATAGCCATTGTTGTTGGAAAGCAAAGGATTTTTGTCGTCGTTGTCGTCAGTTGGGTTTTCCCACGACGCTGAAATTTCATACGCATCATGAATTGAATCAAATAATTTTTCTGTTTAATGTCAATTGATGCTTAAAATTCCTGTTTTATTCAATTTTCAGGATTGAGGCGGATGAGGAAATTGAGAAGGATGTCAGTGTTGCTGATCTATCAAGAAACTCGGGGAAGGAGAATTGTGCAATTCAGTAAAATAATCCCGATACGTGTAATTTGTGTTCTAGTGAATCTAGCCAAAGCAGTAGAGTGAACAATGGCGCAATATACATACATACATATGTATATTATGTATATCATTTACGTACATATAGCCTTATTGCATATCCAATTGCCTACATATATACTTTATAAACTCAACTAATAATGGAAACGATACTAAACTTAAATTGTCGGGGGAGTTTGGGTGCTTATTTTCAATCAGCAAAGAATAATGTCCATGACATGCCTACATATTTATGTACTATGCATGTCTTATGCCTAGTAAGCAAAAGTAATAACTACTTTTTTAATATGCATATATATGTAGCTGGCTGTTTGTAGCTACCATGTTATTTGTCGCTGTCCCATGTCACATGTCCCATTTCCCAAATATGGTATTCAATTGAATTTCGTATTCTAAGATTTCGATGTAATAATTACATTGTTATTTTTTCGATATTATGTAAACTCTCGTGAAAGGATCGTATGTACTGAACCCGTTCAATGGACTGCTTTTTTATTGTTGGCACAACAAGAGCTCGGTTTAGCACTTATTTAAAACGAAGTATGTACCTATTTTATTTTGATCATCTGTAACAAGTTACGTAATGCCAACCCTTATTAATTTGCTATGTACGTACAACTGTTATATCTGTATAGCACAACTGAATCGATACAGTGCTGTCGCTATTTTGTTTTATATTATTTAAGATATGGGTTACCACAATAATTTATACTTAATCATGCTCGCAATCGCAAATGCACTGCTGTAACCGTTATTGCTTTAACTCTGACAATGTATTAATTTTAACGAAATATGTATGCGCAGTGAAGTAAATGAATAAATCAACGCAATAATCTACTGAAAATATTGTGTTTCTTGTTTTATTAAGCATTTCATGTAAAAATTAAATAGTTGGATCATTAATTAACAACACAACTTTGAGCTGAATGATATCAAATTCGTTGTGATAATGGAGAAAGTCATTTGGGAGAAAGCATGAAATAATTGGAATTTAATTTGTGCGAGGAGAAGAACCTCGTTCGCATGGGTGAAGGGACGAGATGAGATTCGGATAAAATTTGAATCATTTGTTATGTGAAGAGAGGAGATGACTGTGCTGATGGTGGGGTGGGTGGTTTGCTTTGGTTTGGTGCTTGTGCGATTAGACCTCGAGTTATGTTGGTTGGTTGGTTGGTCTTGTTGATTAAATATATCTATTATGGATGATTTCATTTGGAGAGGGTACTTTTGGGTAGATTAGTGAGCTGGATGCACTTCCCGTCATGATGTGGCATCTCTTTATTATTGCCCAAATCTCCGTCCCACGGGAATCTCCTAATCATTTTGGAGAACGGTCCACGTTGCAGTAGCAGGCGCGTGCATTTACATCATCGGATGCAGCCAGATAGCTGGAGGAGTGATGAAAAGTCGTATGGCATTCAATTTGTGGGTTATATTATTGTCGGTTACTTTTCATCAATGTCCCTCGTCATCTGTCATATTTTGCAGTTTCAAATCCCACTATGTGTACATGTTTGTATTTGCTTCTTATATTGCAGGTTCCAATGACTAATTTTTCGGATTGACCATTTATCAAGCCAGAAAATTCTTAGTCTTGCTTTGGTAAAAACTTAAAATTGAGCAAATGAAAATGTGAAGATAAAACTTTTATTGATTCAGATTTTTTTATTCATTTGGCACGAAATGTCAAAAACAATGATACTGTGTCATGCATGCAAGTACAAACAAAGAGAATAATTTAAATTCGATTTTACCAACAACTACGAACACATAAATATATGAATGTATTTCATCGACATTATTCACACAAATTATGTGGGTTAAAAAATCGAAAGGTTCATAATTTTGCGTGCCTGGCTTTATAAGTATACATACATACATAGAGAAATTATTTAGTATAGTATCCCTGATTCCATTCTTGGGGTGTACAGGGATATGCATGAGAAGAGTGTTTATATAGGTATGTATTTAGCTTAGGTAACACTGGAGTCTTATTTAAACGGATTTAAACGTTCTAGAATTACATGATAATATTTTAAAGGTATGGTACATAATATATTTATGTATTAATTCCATCCAATTTCTAGTAGTGATTGCCGCAGTTGACTACACATTTAATGTAAGATTCTTAAACCTTAGCACAACAATCGGGAAATGCTTCATGTACAACGAATGGAAGTTTCTTTACGCTTTCCAATTATTGTCAGAATGAAAAAAAAATACTCGAAACAATGGCTATGTTCAGATAAACATTAATTCACTGAAATTGTTGGCAAATTGTGTCCTCCGTAGATTTCATATTTCTTAAGTCGAACGTAGAACTGAATTCAGTTCACTCTGATATGAATATTATCTATTATACATATACCTTCCAACAATTGCGAGCTCATTAGCAAGTTAATTGTTATTTACTTACTTAAATACATACGTAATCTGCCACTTATTATAAATGAGATATGATATCCTCGTGACAATAATTCCATGTTTTATAGGGTACTTAATAATAAATACTTGCGGTGTACTCGACACGATTAACAATCTTTTTACATCTAATCTAAATAATATTGTTACAAGAGTATTACACAACAAGGTCTTTACTGGTTGGTGGTGGTGGTGATGAAGAAGAAGGTGAACATTCTCTCCCAATAATTAAGAATTGTGTTATGTATTCTGTGGGGAAGTGAGATTAGGAAATTCACCACGCAAAATGGTTTACCGGTCCATTGAGTTGAGATGAGGACAAGTAATCCATATTTGGATAGTAGGAAGATGGCCCATGGTAATTTTGACTGTAACACGAGGACGCTCCTGCCTGATGAGCCATTGATGTTGAGCCACTCATGGTCATCCCCATCCCACCCGCACCAGCCATGTAGTTGGATCGGTCCAAACAGTTGGAAGCCATGAGCGATCCTAACAACAAAAATTCCGTTGAAAGATTTTGCATTATTTACTTAAGTAGGCTTATCATCTCCCCCAATCAATCCCAGCGAGACTACTAAAACTAACGACACTCCAGCCAACCTTATCTACAGGAATCGTCGCAATCATTCGAATTGGGCAACCATCTCTACCACCTCTCTCGACATGGGAGGAAGAAAGGTGCAGCAAGAGGCTGTTACTTGGTTGCCAATCGGATTATCCACAACAAAGGTGGAGTAGGACGCAATCAGTAAATATTTTCCTGATCATCTCATTACTTAAAAACTGTCTGTCCAGAAAAACTTGATCCCCATCGTCATCGTCATTATTACCATCATGGACGGAAGGAGGAAGCTCATTAGTGAGTGTTTTAAATCCTTTTGTGGAAGAGGGATAATGCTCTCTTTGCTCTAATTCCTATTACCTTGAGATGACATGAGGTCGCCCATTGGACTCAGCGATGTTGTTGACCAGAGGCCATAGCCGGCTGCTGCTGCTGCTGCTGAGGACGAGGATGGGGTTGAACCGTTGCTCGCAGTGGCAGTGGCGTGGTGGAGATGGTGCGAGCCGGCCGAGTTCATGGTCGCCGAGCCGACAAGGGCGTGGTGGTGATTGAGCGGTCCTGAGGAGCCAGATGAGTTGGACGACGAGAGGGGAGGCAGTTTGTAGGGTGAGTCGCGGTGGGAGTGTTGGGGGTGACCTCCGTGGGATGTGGGCTGTTGATGAGGGTGCAGATTCGTGGGGGGAGACTGAGACACGTCCGGACTGTTTCCAAGACTCGAGTTATGATGATGATGATGTACATTGTTCAAGCTATGTTGTGATGAAACTATAGACTGATTATTATTGTTGTTGTTGTTGTTCGAAGAGTTATTATTGTTGGTGGAATTGTTGTTGTTATTGTGGGAGGCAGAATTAGCTGGAGATTTTAGCTTTTTAGATGATTTTGATGAACTAGTTTTCTCCGTGTGAGTTGCTTGCTTTGCTTGTTGGCGACACTTAGCCCTGTTTAATCCAATTATTTGTTTTTCAGTTATGTTTAGTAAAACTTCAAAAGTGGCACAAATCACAGAATCTGTTTAAAAATTACCTCCGATTTTTGAACCAAACCTGAAAATAGAATGATAATGTCAAAATACAAACGGAATATTTGGTAAATAAAGCATTCACATTCCAGTGTAAAACCTTTTAGAAGCAAAGCAAAATGGGAAAAACAAACAAAATTAAGCAAACATAGGGACATTGTATAGAAAGCGAGCTGAACGAGAGTCATTTTCAAACTGAATGTCATTTTTCGTCCTTCGGTTAAAGTAAACTCTAAAAATTAGGGCCGGGGTGGTAATGATACGTGCCCAAGAGTGACAATTAGATGATTTAATCCAATACAAGGTTGACGAAATGATGATGGATGATCAAACGACTTTCATTATTTCATCTCACTCTCTCCTCCCGAACTGCTCCTGCTTTCTCCACCCAATCAAACCCACACCAGCCATCCGGCTCTTGGTAACATTGTCGTCATCATCAGCATATCAGCATCACTCCCTCCAGCTCTTGACTTAGGAGCCACGGTGTATGAAGTAACTCGATATGAGAGGTATGTAATATGTATGTGTCAAATATCAACATTTCAGCAAAAAACGACATTTCGCTTTGATATCAGCACCGGCACAGTCGAAGAAATGTCAACTTGAGAGAAACTCGATGAAAAATCTGCACGTTCGAAATATATCCAAGTGAGTACCCAAGTAACATGCAAGTCAGGCCCATATGTAAGTTATCCCCGGCAGGTCTGGCTCAACATTTTAGGGGTCAGGGAGGGAACTCTGCTATGGCCCTGTCCAGGCCGAAGAAGGATTAGCGGAGTTTTTTCCATCTCAGGAAATGGTCCAGTGGTCCTGACTTGGTTCAAGTCTGGATGGGCAGATATGGCTAACGTCCGTATTTATTAGCCCGGCCCGTTGGTATGTAGCCCAACTTTACCCGTACTTGGACTCCCAGACATAAATCTGACTCGGCCCTGACTTTATTCTCCGACTCCGTGGCAGGCTTGGGAGAAACCCGAGACTATAGTCAGTCGCGGGGCAGGGCCAGGCTTGCATCGGGTTTGAAAAGTTTAGTCTGGTCCAGCTCAGGGTGAAAGTTTAGCCTCGTGTAGCCACCACGCCGTTTGACTTTAGTTTTTTTTACTTAATCGACGAGCACAATGGCTCAAAATTCAACTAAATTTTCGGTAGTTCTTTTTACGAAAGAAAAAAGTGTTGCTGCAGTTCCGACGACGTGGCTGCTAGAAGAGAAAGGCCGGACTTTTTGTAAATGGCCAAAAGGGCCTAATGCTGCAACTCTCGTCCACGACGGAAATAGTGTCCCACGGAAAGGGTGGTCAAGTTTTCCCGTAAAGATTTACAGAGGATTGGGGAGTGGTAAGGAAATAATTTTAATATGGTAAAATAACTTGTGGTGAAAGCACGAGTTGTGTATATTGCAAATTTCATCTTAATCTAAAATAGGAGGTTTTACTTTGTAGACGACTACACTACAGCAAACACTAATGCAGACGAGGCAAGAGCACTGACCAGTCCGAGCGAGGAGGAAAGTCCCCCCTCGTCCCCTCCCACCCCCGTCAAAGTTAACTCAAAACCACGCCAACGACAACATTCATCCGATAGCGAGACCAATTCTAGGAGGAATTTTGATACAGAAGTTCCCGACATTGACACAAATAGAAGTAGCAGTGTCACGATTGATGACGTCGAAGAAACAGTTGCAGGTTAGCGAAACCTAATCAAATAATATTTAATAATGTGATAAGTTTTTTTACGAATTTATTATTATTAAATTTATTAAATTTTCAGCACATTCGTCCCAGGCAGTCTTCAATTTAAATATTGCTGGCGCTGAGGAAGATCAATCAGAATCTCAGCTAAATTATGCAACTTTTTCAGCTCCTCTCACGGTTACCAGTCAAGGTTAGGATTCCACCATTATACCAAGCATGTTATATTTTTAATACAATGGAATATTATGTGTTTACAGGGTTTGAGGTCAATGTATTGAGTTACCTAATCGACATTAAGACCGAACTATCCAGATTATCAGCTCAAGTGGCAGCGATAGCGGCCGGAAGTGACTCTGGCGAGGATTCTGGAGAGGAATTTCAACTTCCGATTGCCACCGAGGAACAACTTATGGAAATAGAGTTAAAGTTAAATGAACGTGGGGCAAGAAAAATATTGGTAAATAATATTCAATTTTATTTACAGTTTTTGTTGAAATGCGAATAATGTATACGTTTTTTCTATTAGTTCAAGCAAATTGTTAAAGTCGGTGGACTTGATATTAAGGATACGGTCGAACGAGTGCTAGCAAAAGTTTTTGGTCAGGCTATAGCGGAACAGACGTCCCTAACAGGAAGGAGTAACAAGTTTGCTTTTGATAAACTTAAACTCTTCAACGTTATAGTGGGTAAATATTATTTAATTAATTTTTGGCTATATAATTACGACAATTTAAGTATTAATGAACTCAACTAAGTAAATTGAATATTTGTATTATGATTTCAGATGCTATACTAAAAAACCCCTTATGTTCCAATAAGACTCAAAAGGACGTGGAAGTTGAAGCAACACGGTGGTTTGGTAACGCGAAGGATCGCGACGGTGGAAGGGAAAGGCGACGTAATAAGAAGTTACCCCCGGCTAATAATTGATTGGCAGAATGGAGTCATCAAAATCAACCAAATATAGAAAGAGGAAAGCTGAAGTAGCTACAATTCTTAACGGGGTTAATACGGACAATAGCACTTGTAATAATAATAGTATTAATAGTAGTAATTTAGGTAATCAGATTTATAATAATACGCAACATTCAATTCCAACAATTTCCCCCGAAATGGTAAATAGTGAATTTGACTTAGATGAATTTTGTCAGCCAGACTCAGACGACGAGTTTGAAAAGGAAGAGGACAAGTTTTCGAAATCTTTAGAATTTAAAAATAGGTTAACAAATTGGGGTCTAAATCATAACATCACACACGTAGCAATGAAAGAACTTTTGAGCATTTTAAAGAATGAAAAATGTGGAATTAACTTGCCAAGTGACCCCCGTACGCTTTTTAAGACACCCAAGTCTAGCAGCACTATCACGCTAGGAACGGGAAAATTTAAATATTTTGGTATTCGAAAAGCATTTGAAATAGCAAATAACAGAGGGTGGGAAAATGCGAGTGCAAACAAGTCAATGAGTATCGGAATTGATGGGTTACCAATATCCAAAAGTAGCAAAAGTCAGTTTTGGCCAATTTTAGCTCTTTTCAAGCACTGTCGATCACCCAGTCCCTACGTCATTGCCCTTTACTTTGGTACCTCAAAACCCGCGTCACTTGAATTGTTTTTGCAAGATTTTATTGTTGAAATGCTGGATATAAAAACGAACGGTATTATTATTAACGATAATACATTTACATTAAATATGAAATGTCTTATTGCCGACGCACCTGCTCGTTCGTTTTTAAAAATGTGCAACGGCTTTAATGCATATTATGGATGTGAACGTTGTTGTCAAAAAGGGAAATGGGTAGGGAAGGTAGTTTTTCCAGAAATTAATGCAGAGAAAAGAACAAACGAATCTTTTTTTGATAATGCCCACACGTCAGGAAGATCTCCATTTGCAGATATAGGACTTGGAATGATTAGTCAAGTACCCCTAGACTATATGCATTTAGTGTGCCTAGGAATTATGAGAAAATTAATTTTTAGTTGGCTTCGTAGTCCCCTTCAAAAACGAATCAAATTAAGCCCCAGTAGTATAAATCAGATTAGTGGACACTTAAAAAATATATCTTTTTTTACTCCGTCTGAGTTTTGTAGAAAACCTAGATGTATAAGAGAAATTGACCATTACAAAGCAACTGAACTGCGTCAGTTTTTAATTTACACTGGTCCAGTCTGCTTAAAAAATGTATTGCCCTCGACCCTTTTTGACCATTTTATGCTTTTGCATTGTAGTATGCGAATATTACTGTCAAATTTGGCAAATTCTGTAGAATGGATCGAACTTGCGAGAAAACTTTTAGTCGAATTTGTTTCAAAAGTTAGTAGTTTGTATGGGGAAGACTATTTAACTTATAACATGCATTCTATTATTCACATCCCAGACGATGCACTTATTTATGGTGAGCTTGATAATGTTAGTGCATTTCCGTTTGAGAATCACATGCAAACTTTAAAAAAGTTATTGCGAGCTAAACATTTGCCATTAGAGCAAGCAATAAATAGAATTGAAGAGAGAAACCTTTTCGATTCTGCAGACTGTGCCAAATTAAAATTGAAGAAATTAAAAATTTTTGCTGGAAAGCAGTTTTCCACAAAAAAAGGTAATAACATTGCATTTCTGTCGTCGGGGGAAATTGTTGAAATTGAATGTTTCATAGACGATAATAAGTTTATTGGTAAACGATATTTAAAGAAATGTGATGCATATACTTTTCCCCTCAGTAGCCATAAGTTGAAATCATTCGTTGTTAGCAATCTTAATGCAATTTCCGGAGAATTTGAATGTAATTCAATAATTGATAAGGGATACTTAATGTTATGTAATGATGAATATGTATGTATGCCATTATTGTAAATGAAAATCCTGTATTTCTTTTTATAAGAAAATAAAATAATATTTAAAAATACAATCCACGGTTCAGCCCTGTATTTACATCAATGGCCCCTGCATGAAATTACAAGTTCGGGCCAAGGTAGGGTCATGTCCGCTCCCACAGGACGATACTGAGCTGGACCAGAGTTGGACCAGAGTTGAACCAGACTCGAAACAAAGACCGGGACCAGGTCTGTTTAGGATGTGACCCCTACTTGCATAAAGTATGGCGCAAGTCTGGGCCACATGTGAACCATCGCAGGCTGAAGTCCGATTGCAAGTCTGGCACCGGACATTCCCCTGATGTCAAATCTGTACTTGGGCCGGACTTTTGTCAAAAGCCTGGCCCAAGCAAGGTCCGGACATAAAATGTTACTTGGGTATACTTGTATTTTTGGAAACAAATCAAAACAACCCAAGTAACATGCAAGTCAGGCCCATATGTAAGTTATCCCCGGCAGGTCTGGCTCAACATTTTAGGGGTCAGGGAGGGAACTCTGCTATGGCCCTGTCCAGGCCGAAGAAGGATTAGCGGAGTTTTTTCCATCTCAGGAAATGGTCCAGTGGTCCTGACTTGGTTCAAGTCTGGATGGGCAGATATGGCTAACGTCCGTATTTATTAGCCCGGCCCGTTGGTATGTAGCCCAACTTTACCCGTACTTGGACTCCCAGACATAAATCTGACTCGGCCCTGACTTTATTCTCCGACTCCGTGGCAGGCTTGGGAGAAACCCGAGACTATAGTCAGTCGCGGGGCAGGGCCAGGCTTGCATCGGGTTTGAAAAGTTTAGTCTGGTCCAGCTCAGGGTGAAAGTTTAGCCTCGTGTAGCCACCACGCCGTTTGACTTTAGTTTTTTTTACTTAATCGACGAGCACAATGGCTCAAAATTCAACTAAATTTTCGGTAGTTCTTTTTACGAAAGAAAAAAGTGTTGCTGCAGTTCCGACGACGTGGCTGCTAGAAGAGAAAGGCCGGACTTTTTGTAAATGGCCAAAAGGGCCTAATGCTGCAACTCTCGTCCACGACGGAAATAGTGTCCCACGGAAAGGGTGGTCAAGTTTTCCCGTAAAGATTTACAGAGGATTGGGGAGTGGTAAGGAAATAATTTTAATATGGTAAAATAACTTGTGGTGAAAGCACGAGTTGTGTATATTGCAAATTTCATCTTAATCTAAAATAGGAGGTTTTACTTTGTAGACGACTACACTACAGCAAACACTAATGCAGACGAGGCAAGAGCACTGACCAGTCCGAGCGAGGAGGAAAGTCCCCCCTCGTCCCCTCCCACCCCCGTCAAAGTTAACTCAAAACCACGCCAACGACAACATTCATCCGATAGCGAGACCAATTCTAGGAGGAATTTTGATACAGAAGTTCCCGACATTGACACAAATAGAAGTAGCAGTGTCACGATTGATGACGTCGAAGAAACAGTTGCAGGTTAGCGAAACCTAATCAAATAATATTTAATAATGTGATAAGTTTTTTTACGAATTTATTATTATTAAATTTATTAAATTTTCAGCACATTCGTCCCAGGCAGTCTTCAATTTAAATATTGCTGGCGCTGAGGAAGATCAATCAGAATCTCAGCTAAATTATGCAACTTTTTCAGCTCCTCTCACGGTTACCAGTCAAGGTTAGGATTCCACCATTATACCAAGCATGTTATATTTTTAATACAATGGAATATTATGTGTTTACAGGGTTTGAGGTCAATGTATTGAGTTACCTAATCGACATTAAGACCGAACTATCCAGATTATCAGCTCAAGTGGCAGCGATAGCGGCCGGAAGTGACTCTGGCGAGGATTCTGGAGAGGAATTTCAACTTCCGATTGCCACCGAGGAACAACTTATGGAAATAGAGTTAAAGTTAAATGAACGTGGGGCAAGAAAAATATTGGTAAATAATATTCAATTTTATTTACAGTTTTTGTTGAAATGCGAATAATGTATACGTTTTTTCTATTAGTTCAAGCAAATTGTTAAAGTCGGTGGACTTGATATTAAGGATACGGTCGAACGAGTGCTAGCAAAAGTTTTTGGTCAGGCTATAGCGGAACAGACGTCCCTAACAGGAAGGAGTAACAAGTTTGCTTTTGATAAACTTAAACTCTTCAACGTTATAGTGGGTAAATATTATTTAATTAATTTTTGGCTATATAATTACGACAATTTAAGTATTAATGAACTCAACTAAGTAAATTGAATATTTGTATTATGATTTCAGATGCTATACTAAAAAACCCCTTATGTTCCAATAAGACTCAAAAGGACGTGGAAGTTGAAGCAACACGGTGGTTTGGTAACGCGAAGGATCGCGACGGTGGAAGGGAAAGGCGACGTAATAAGAAGTTACCCCCGGCTAATAATTGATTGGCAGAATGGAGTCATCAAAATCAACCAAATATAGAAAGAGGAAAGCTGAAGTAGCTACAATTCTTAACGGGGTTAATACGGACAATAGCACTTGTAATAATAATAGTATTAATAGTAGTAATTTAGGTAATCAGATTTATAATAATACGCAACATTCAATTCCAACAATTTCCCCCGAAATGGTAAATAGTGAATTTGACTTAGATGAATTTTGTCAGCCAGACTCAGACGACGAGTTTGAAAAGGAAGAGGACAAGTTTTCGAAATCTTTAGAATTTAAAAATAGGTTAACAAATTGGGGTCTAAATCATAACATCACACACGTAGCAATGAAAGAACTTTTGAGCATTTTAAAGAATGAAAAATGTGGAATTAACTTGCCAAGTGACCCCCGTACGCTTTTTAAGACACCCAAGTCTAGCAGCACTATCACGCTAGGAACGGGAAAATTTAAATATTTTGGTATTCGAAAAGCATTTGAAATAGCAAATAACAGAGGGTGGGAAAATGCGAGTGCAAACAAGTCAATGAGTATCGGAATTGATGGGTTACCAATATCCAAAAGTAGCAAAAGTCAGTTTTGGCCAATTTTAGCTCTTTTCAAGCACTGTCGATCACCCAGTCCCTACGTCATTGCCCTTTACTTTGGTACCTCAAAACCCGCGTCACTTGAATTGTTTTTGCAAGATTTTATTGTTGAAATGCTGGATATAAAAACGAACGGTATTATTATTAACGATAATACATTTACATTAAATATGAAATGTCTTATTGCCGACGCACCTGCTCGTTCGTTTTTAAAAATGTGCAACGGCTTTAATGCATATTATGGATGTGAACGTTGTTGTCAAAAAGGGAAATGGGTAGGGAAGGTAGTTTTTCCAGAAATTAATGCAGAGAAAAGAACAAACGAATCTTTTTTTGATAATGCCCACACGTCAGGAAGATCTCCATTTGCAGATATAGGACTTGGAATGATTAGTCAAGTACCCCTAGACTATATGCATTTAGTGTGCCTAGGAATTATGAGAAAATTAATTTTTAGTTGGCTTCGTAGTCCCCTTCAAAAACGAATCAAATTAAGCCCCAGTAGTATAAATCAGATTAGTGGACACTTAAAAAATATATCTTTTTTTACTCCGTCTGAGTTTTGTAGAAAACCTAGATGTATAAGAGAAATTGACCATTACAAAGCAACTGAACTGCGTCAGTTTTTAATTTACACTGGTCCAGTCTGCTTAAAAAATGTATTGCCCTCGACCCTTTTTGACCATTTTATGCTTTTGCATTGTAGTATGCGAATATTACTGTCAAATTTGGCAAATTCTGTAGAATGGATCGAACTTGCGAGAAAACTTTTAGTCGAATTTGTTTCAAAAGTTAGTAGTTTGTATGGGGAAGACTATTTAACTTATAACATGCATTCTATTATTCACATCCCAGACGATGCACTTATTTATGGTGAGCTTGATAATGTTAGTGCATTTCCGTTTGAGAATCACATGCAAACTTTAAAAAAGTTATTGCGAGCTAAACATTTGCCATTAGAGCAAGCAATAAATAGAATTGAAGAGAGAAACCTTTTCGATTCTGCAGACTGTGCCAAATTAAAATTGAAGAAATTAAAAATTTTTGCTGGAAAGCAGTTTTCCACAAAAAAAGGTAATAACATTGCATTTCTGTCGTCGGGGGAAATTGTTGAAATTGAATGTTTCATAGACGATAATAAGTTTATTGGTAAACGATATTTAAAGAAATGTGATGCATATACTTTTCCCCTCAGTAGCCATAAGTTGAAATCATTCGTTGTTAGCAATCTTAATGCAATTTCCGGAGAATTTGAATGTAATTCAATAATTGATAAGGGATACTTAATGTTATGTAATGATGAATATGTATGTATGCCATTATTGTAAATGAAAATCCTGTATTTCTTTTTATAAGAAAATAAAATAATATTTAAAAATACAATCCACGGTTCAGCCCTGTATTTACATCAATGGCCCCTGCATGAAATTACAAGTTCGGGCCAAGGTAGGGTCATGTCCGCTCCCACAGGACGATACTGAGCTGGACCAGAGTTGGACCAGAGTTGAACCAGACTCGAAACAAAGACCGGGACCAGGTCTGTTTAGGATGTGACCCCTACTTGCATAAAGTATGGCGCAAGTCTGGGCCACATGTGAACCATCGCAGGCTGAAGTCCGATTGCAAGTCTGGCACCGGACATTCCCCTGATGTCAAATCTGTACTTGGGCCGGACTTTTGTCAAAAGCCTGGCCCAAGCAAGGTCCGGACATAAAATGTTACTTGGGTATACTTGTATTTTTGGAAACAAATCAAAACAACCCAAGTAACATGCAAGTCAGGCCCATATGTAAGTTATCCCCGGCAGGTCTGGCTCAACATTTTAGGGGTCAGGGAGGGAACTCTGCTATGGCCCTGTCCAGGCCGAAGAAGGATTAGCGGAGTTTTTTCCATCTCAGGAAATGGTCCAGTGGTCCTGACTTGGTTCAAGTCTGGATGGGCAGATATGGCTAACGTCCGTATTTATTAGCCCGGCCCGTTGGTATGTAGCCCAACTTTACCCGTACTTGGACTCCCAGACATAAATCTGACTCGGCCCTGACTTTATTCTCCGACTCCGTGGCAGGCTTGGGAGAAACCCGAGACTATAGTCAGTCGCGGGGCAGGGCCAGGCTTGCATCGGGTTTGAAAAGTTTAGTCTGGTCCAGCTCAGGGTGAAAGTTTAGCCTCGTGTAGCCACCACGCCGTTTGACTTTAGTTTTTTTTACTTAATCGACGAGCACAATGGCTCAAAATTCAACTAAATTTTCGGTAGTTCTTTTTACGAAAGAAAAAAGTGTTGCTGCAGTTCCGACGACGTGGCTGCTAGAAGAGAAAGGCCGGACTTTTTGTAAATGGCCAAAAGGGCCTAATGCTGCAACTCTCGTCCACGACGGAAATAGTGTCCCACGGAAAGGGTGGTCAAGTTTTCCCGTAAAGATTTACAGAGGATTGGGGAGTGGTAAGGAAATAATTTTAATATGGTAAAATAACTTGTGGTGAAAGCACGAGTTGTGTATATTGCAAATTTCATCTTAATCTAAAATAGGAGGTTTTACTTTGTAGACGACTACACTACAGCAAACACTAATGCAGACGAGGCAAGAGCACTGACCAGTCCGAGCGAGGAGGAAAGTCCCCCCTCGTCCCCTCCCACCCCCGTCAAAGTTAACTCAAAACCACGCCAACGACAACATTCATCCGATAGCGAGACCAATTCTAGGAGGAATTTTGATACAGAAGTTCCCGACATTGACACAAATAGAAGTAGCAGTGTCACGATTGATGACGTCGAAGAAACAGTTGCAGGTTAGCGAAACCTAATCAAATAATATTTAATAATGTGATAAGTTTTTTTACGAATTTATTATTATTAAATTTATTAAATTTTCAGCACATTCGTCCCAGGCAGTCTTCAATTTAAATATTGCTGGCGCTGAGGAAGATCAATCAGAATCTCAGCTAAATTATGCAACTTTTTCAGCTCCTCTCACGGTTACCAGTCAAGGTTAGGATTCCACCATTATACCAAGCATGTTATATTTTTAATACAATGGAATATTATGTGTTTACAGGGTTTGAGGTCAATGTATTGAGTTACCTAATCGACATTAAGACCGAACTATCCAGATTATCAGCTCAAGTGGCAGCGATAGCGGCCGGAAGTGACTCTGGCGAGGATTCTGGAGAGGAATTTCAACTTCCGATTGCCACCGAGGAACAACTTATGGAAATAGAGTTAAAGTTAAATGAACGTGGGGCAAGAAAAATATTGGTAAATAATATTCAATTTTATTTACAGTTTTTGTTGAAATGCGAATAATGTATACGTTTTTTCTATTAGTTCAAGCAAATTGTTAAAGTCGGTGGACTTGATATTAAGGATACGGTCGAACGAGTGCTAGCAAAAGTTTTTGGTCAGGCTATAGCGGAACAGACGTCCCTAACAGGAAGGAGTAACAAGTTTGCTTTTGATAAACTTAAACTCTTCAACGTTATAGTGGGTAAATATTATTTAATTAATTTTTGGCTATATAATTACGACAATTTAAGTATTAATGAACTCAACTAAGTAAATTGAATATTTGTATTATGATTTCAGATGCTATACTAAAAAACCCCTTATGTTCCAATAAGACTCAAAAGGACGTGGAAGTTGAAGCAACACGGTGGTTTGGTAACGCGAAGGATCGCGACGGTGGAAGGGAAAGGCGACGTAATAAGAAGTTACCCCCGGCTAATAATTGATTGGCAGAATGGAGTCATCAAAATCAACCAAATATAGAAAGAGGAAAGCTGAAGTAGCTACAATTCTTAACGGGGTTAATACGGACAATAGCACTTGTAATAATAATAGTATTAATAGTAGTAATTTAGGTAATCAGATTTATAATAATACGCAACATTCAATTCCAACAATTTCCCCCGAAATGGTAAATAGTGAATTTGACTTAGATGAATTTTGTCAGCCAGACTCAGACGACGAGTTTGAAAAGGAAGAGGACAAGTTTTCGAAATCTTTAGAATTTAAAAATAGGTTAACAAATTGGGGTCTAAATCATAACATCACACACGTAGCAATGAAAGAACTTTTGAGCATTTTAAAGAATGAAAAATGTGGAATTAACTTGCCAAGTGACCCCCGTACGCTTTTTAAGACACCCAAGTCTAGCAGCACTATCACGCTAGGAACGGGAAAATTTAAATATTTTGGTATTCGAAAAGCATTTGAAATAGCAAATAACAGAGGGTGGGAAAATGCGAGTGCAAACAAGTCAATGAGTATCGGAATTGATGGGTTACCAATATCCAAAAGTAGCAAAAGTCAGTTTTGGCCAATTTTAGCTCTTTTCAAGCACTGTCGATCACCCAGTCCCTACGTCATTGCCCTTTACTTTGGTACCTCAAAACCCGCGTCACTTGAATTGTTTTTGCAAGATTTTATTGTTGAAATGCTGGATATAAAAAC